AATCCAAAAAGTAAACATTGTAAAACACTAATATCTTTAGAATTGAATAAGTTACGAAAGCCAGCGCAAAGGGGTGAGGGGATGGGATGGTTGGTTTTGTGTGTGACATCCCATCAATCAACTTTAGCTCATTTAGTAAACCAATTTGACTCTTTTAGATGAGTAAGTCGGCAAATGTGGATTTTCAGAACAGTCACTAGGTAAGTTTAAAAAACAAGGATTATTTTTCCTTTTTCTAGTCAGCTAAAAATTTAACGGCGCTTTCTAGGTGTTACCTACTTGTGCTGGCCCTGTAAGCTACAGTATATTACAATAATTCGTTTTTATTATGTGCCACTTTTTTGGATCCAAATTATAAAAGTTTTCAATTCTTTGAAAAGTACGAGAGAAAAAAAAATTAAAATGTGTTAGAGAATTTTTGTCATTTGACAAAAAAATTTTGTGGTATAATTCCAGTTAAAAAGGTGACAATAGGCCGGGTGAGCAATTGCTTTTACTCGGTAATTGGTCAGCTTTACGTGAATAAAAACGTTAGAAGTTTTGCTCTAGTTTTTATTCACGTAAAATTAAGCAATTTACTTAGTATTTGTTCAGCTTTGCGTGAATAAAAACTTAAAGAAAATAGCTAAAGTTTTTATTCACGTAACGCTGACCAATTACTGAGTAAATGCAATTGCTTGTTTTTATTCACCAGGCCTAATCAAATCAAGTTATCATTTGACGATGAAGATGTTAATTCCGGAAATGATAGTGCCAAAATAATAAGTTTAGATTGAGCAAAATGTTTTTATACTTTTGGCATCAAAATCAACATGTGTTTCCAATATTGTATTGTATTTCAACAATGATTTTATATACGCCTGCTACCAGTGCACCAAGTGAACGCCTTTTCTATGACGTTTTAAACACTTTATATGCAAAGCGAAACAGAATGACAACTGAATGTTTTTAAATGTTGATGTTTTAGTACAAAAATTTGGAATATTTTAATTTAGTTTAAATTCATTAAATTTGATACAAAAGTTTTTTCTTGTAACAAGTATTTTTTAAGACATTTTATTGTTCTTAAATCAATATTATTAAATTTAGTATTCAAACTCTTATGTGATTTTATTTTGTTACAAAAATGTAAAAAACTAACTTTTGTTGTTTAAATTTAAAATGTGTTTCAAAAAATGTTTCAAAAAATTAATGTATGGTTTTAATGTTCTTGAGTCTACGGTTTTATCATAATGTTCACAACAGTTTAGTATTATTTAATACATTATACATTATTATTTTATACACTATTCAACAATTTATATTGCGGAAATTGAATTCTTAAATGCAAATACCAATCTTCATTTTAAATTTTGCAAGTCTCGCCAACGGACGAACAACTATACTCTAAAAGCAATAAATATATTCACAATAACTTATTTAACAATAACCTTTTAGGTTTATGTCAATACTTTCGCCTGCCTGTAGTGTTTGCGGGTTATAATAGTCGGGAGAAAAGACGCAACAATAAATGTTCGTATATTGCGTATTGTATTTGTGGTGGTGGTTATGTTAACATTACAATAGGTTTAGGGAGGTTTAATAAAGGGAGGGAATTAAATGCCCATTTATAATTTTTAAGTGAACACAATATTTTTATATCTTCTGTATTTGAAAGAACTAGAATGCCAAATGTTTCTACGGCATTGTTTCTAATTTTTTTTTTTTTTTTACTGTATTTTTCAATCTACTATATTTTGTTTTCTGTTGCTTTTTTTTTTTCCTTTTTTTTTTTTTTTTTTTTTTTTGTATTTGGGGTGTAATCAATTGTTAGGAGAGGTTGATATTTGAAGGGGTGGGGAGGGGGAGTCGTGGATTTGTTGTGAAAATTAGAGACTGAATCCATTCCTATAATATGGCAGGGGACAGGGCTGTACTGAACAACAAAGACGTAGTTTGGGGGGTGCAAATAAAAAAAAGCTATTTTACCATAAAAATTTCACCAAAGTAGGGCTTTTTTTATTTAAAAGCCAAGATTCAGTTTTAACCGACCGAGTCTCAAATTTTCCAAATTACCGACAAAACCGGCAGAATGTTGTAAACCTGGGAAGGTGCCCACACCCCCGTCGGTACGGCCTTGGCAGGGGAGATTATTTTTCATGTTCGATTATTATTGTACACTACTTATATGATGCAGCACATAAAAAATATAAGTTAAACGTTCAATAAGCGTACCAAATTTGATTTAATTGACTAATGAGCATTATTTGTACATTCCATGCTGATTGGGTGTTTATAAACAGTTGCAACAACCTCATAGGCAGTTGTCTCCGAGCTGGAAAAAAATAAAAATAATCAAATTTTGCTGAAAAACATTTTTTTTAAATAACAGTTTAGTTCGACGGGGTCTAGGATTCACAATTAGTAAAGTGTTTAATTAAGATATAATAATATCTATCGCCTTAATAAAGCTTCCTTGTGTTTAAAATTTTTATGCGAAAAATTATTTCTTTTTTCAAGAACTAAATCTTTCTTTAGTCGACTTAATTTAGTTACACTAAATATTTAGTCGATTAATTTGAGTTAACTAAAAAGTTAATCGACTAATTTTAGTTAACTAAAAAGTTAGTCGGATAATTTTAGTTAACTAAAAGGTTAGTCGACTAGTTTTAGTTAACTAAAACATTATTCGACTAATTTTAGTTAACTAAAAAGTTAGTCGGGTAATTTTAGTTAGCTAAAAAGTTAGTCGAGTAATTTTAGTTAGTTAGAAAGTTAGTCGACTAATTTTAGTTAACTAAAAAGTTAGTCGGGTAATTTTAGTTAACTAAAAGGTTAGTCGACTAGTTTTAGTTAACTAAAACATTATTCGACTAATTTTAGTTAACTAAAAAGTTAGTCGGGTAATTTTAGTTAACTAAAAAGTTAGTCGAGTAATTTTAGTTAACTAAAAGGTTAGTCGACTAGTTTTAGTTAACTAAAAAGTTAGTCGAGTAATTTTAGTTAACTAAAGGTTAGTCGACTAATTCTAGTTAGACTAAAAATTTAGTTAAGTATTTTTAGTTAGACTAAAACTAACCTTAACTCCCATCCCTAATTATTTTATTAACAATCACTCTTAACTATAAAGAATAAAGTTAAGAAATTGAAAAATTCCTTTAAAAATATATGATATTAAGTTTAATAAAATAATGTGTATATTAAATTTCAAAGCTGTCATTTAATTGCAAACATTTTTTTGTATAAAACCTAATTTACTGATACAACCATATTTTTGAAATATATCTTAAATTTTATTTTAATATTTTTCGATGTAAGGTTTTTAATATAATTATAGATGAAAAGCATGTCTTGAAACCTATTTATCCTGCATACATTCATCATTTTTTGTCCCTCATTATAAGCTTTCCATGCTTAAATCTGTTTTTTTTTCCCGCATATAATTCTGTTATCATGTTGTTTTTCTACATAATTCTGCTATTTAAAAATATTTGAAGAAAATCTTACAATAATTCAGCAAAAAAGTTTATTTACTTAACAGATGACTTAAGATAGACACTTTCAAAGTAAATTACTTCAATGTTAAATGATTTGTAAATACACTTTTTTAAATAGCTTATTATACTTGAAAAATTTAAAAAAAAAACTAAACAATATTGAAAATAGCAGTCACTTTTCAAAATTTCTCATAACTAACTCTTTAAATACTGAAGAATTTCTTTGGAACTCGCAGAAATTTTGTGAATTTTTAAAAGAAATCAATAAGCAACTTTAAATTGTCTGAAACATCAAATAATGCATAAAACTTTTTTTTATACTTTTTTCTTATCATTATAAAAGAACTTTTCCAAAGCCTAAAAAATTTAAAAATTGTAACCCATACATATAATGATATTAATATTAAAAAAACAACACTTGTCAAAATTTGCCGGTAAATCAGAATTTTTTTTTTACTGATTACCCGGTAAAATTTTGGGTCAAATCTAGGCCCCTCTCGGTAGATTTGACACCCCACGGTAGATTTGAATTTAAAACTTTCTAAAACCCTTCGGTCGATGATATTATATAACTAGATGTCTAACTTGCAGTGAAACCGCTTTTTTTTGCCTATGTTTATTAAAAAGTATTTTAATTCAAAAAAAATGCTTCAAAATCGTTCGTCGTTTTACTTTTCTATTCAAAATTTTATTCCCTTTTTAATCAAAAATAGATTAAGGAATCATAAACTATTATTTTACAAGTATTATAGTTTCCGCTTAACACTTTTACGTAAATAGTATTTAAATTTAAAATATATTTACTTCATTTAAGAAAAGAAAAGGTTAAAATTAATTTTTTACAAATTTAATCTGCCATTTGTAAAAAGGGCAAAATGCGGCTTCACTTTTCGTATCGAAGTTAGACATCATTTAGTGAAAAGAGTTCGAAGTGTGTCAACCCCGTTGGTTTGCTTTTGTGGTGGTGCGATTTTTATAAGAATAAAATAATTATTAAAATTTTTGCATTTAATGAAAATAAAGAATTCTGCTTTCAAAAATTACTTAACATTTAGAGTCATTCAAACAGTTATTTACTGTGCATCATTCTTGTAATAATATTTTATAAAAAAAAAAAAAAAAACTTATATTGTAAGTAAACATGTTAATTATTTATTTTTAACAAATTAAATTCTCACATTTAAGTCGTACTCGGTGTGAATCGTAAATGAAATTGTTAATATAAATCAAGTTAAATCTAACCTACATTACCGAAAAGTTGTCTTTTTTTTTTAATTCCATTTTTTTGTCACTATAATTGATATAGATCGGGATGTTTTTATTTTTTATTTATTTATTTATTTATTTGAGTTCGCTGATCTATAAACTCAAAAAATAGCATGCACTAAAAGGTTGCAGGTCTTAAGTCTGCACATCTTTATTTTCAGGAAAAAGACATTTGAAATACTATCATACTGACGAATTTTTTAACATCTCGCAAAAAATTTCCGGTTGATTAAATACTCAAAGGTTTTTACAACTTACCATTGATGTCTCTTCGGATAACGCCATTGAATAAACCAAAGTAAATATAATAATATAACTCATGATTTCTTTATTTTTAAAAAGTTCTAATGATTTTATTTCACTTTTTTTTTGAATTTATTTTAAAAACTGTTTTTACAATTATTAATTGATTATTCAAACAAAGTTCGGTTTTATTTGATGGGTTTATTATTTATTTTTTTATACTTATACTAGTAACGCTGTACCACGTGAACAAATAACAGGTCAATAATTGTTCCTTTTACAAATATTTACGGATAGACAACGTTATAAAACAAACAATGTTTATGTGAATTAATTACGCATTCGATTAACATGTTTTCCACGCCCTTATTTTATCTGCTAAATGGTTTTTTACAGCCAAAATATTGTTTGCTATTGATCAAAAAGCAATTACCAATATTGCAAAAAGCAATTACCAATATTGCAATGCAATTCTCGTAACTTTTATTTTAATTTAACTTTTTACGTTGTTTAGGTTTTTGCAAAGTTACCACAAGTTTACTGCCCTACTTAAAAAAACTTTACGAATTAATTAAAAAAAGGGGCGCACTAATGTTACTGCGTATTTTTTATTTTTTAAAGCATAAACTATTAATCAAACAATATTTTTCATAAACTAATAAATAATATTGCACTAATTGAATCAAGTCTAGATTTGCATAAAGTAGTTTTTCAGTTTAGTTGCATAACTTTATATCAATTTTGTATCGTTTCATAACTTAGTTAAACACGGGGGTTAATAACTAAGTACCATAAATCTTATGTTAGGCAATTGAACTAAGAGTATACAATTTTCGTAAAATTTAAATTAATTTTTGGAAAAATTTAAGGGAACGGTGGGGAAAGACGACCATTTTAACATTTTTTAAGTTTTTTCAATTTCAAGTTCATTATATAATAGTTATACACATTTTCAAGTTGCAAATTAATTACGTATTTTAGTACTTCTTTTAATAACATTGTTTTTGATATTGATATTCTTTGTATTACAAAATATATACATACATATTTATATATTATTAAATGTATTTTTGTTATACCCAATAAAAAATATATATATTTTTTGTTCTCTTAAACTATGACCTAACTATCCTGCAGCTTTTATCTTTTTTTTAGTTTTTCCCAAAGTAACACATAATTTTTTTTTTACAAAGAGTACTCAATCGAAACCAAAAAAATTTCCATTCAAATGATATAAACAAATGTCCACGAAAACAACTATTTGGCCCACTGTGCTTAAGGAATACAATTTTTAAAACACATTTTAAAAGATTCAAAAATGAAATTTTTGGCATAAAAAAAACTTTAGCAATCAGACAGCAAACAAACTATTATCACTTAATATATTGACGTATTAAATATATTAGTATGTATACAGAGACGATTATACGGGAGTGTGTTTTTAAGAAGGCAATTTTTAAGTTGTAGTGGGCTTTTTGACACATTTCAGGCGGGTGATTTTTAATTTTGAGGACCTTTCTTAAGAAACCAGTACATTGTAAGGGGTTCACCCCCTTCCCCCTTTATTTTATTCCTAGAATCGCCTCTGTATGTGTCTTTAATATTCAAAGTTGTTTATAACAAAATTTTGTTTAAAGCTTGGTATTACATTGTTTAAAATGAGCCAATTCGTAGTACTTTTAATCTTTTTTAAGTTTTAAACAAAATAATAAGTAAATAGACTATGCCAAAAATGAAAATAGTCGTGGTCATAACAGCCATAACTAATTTCAACACAACTTGTTTAATACAAACAGAGTAAAACTTGTTAAATACAAATAGACTTGATTAATACAAATACGGGAGGCTGCATAAGCGCGAACTGACATATGTGCGAATTGGCATAAGTGCGCCAAAACATTTTGCAAACATTGGCATAAGTGCAAACTGGCATAAGTGCGAAGCAGTTACAAAAATTGGCATAAGTGCGAATTCGCATTAGTGCGCCAAACAAATTTGCAAACATTGGCATAAATGCAAACTGGCATAAGTGCGAAGCAATTAAAAAAACTGGCATAAGTGCGAACTGGCATAACTGCGAATTGGCATAAGTGCGCCCAATAAAATTTCAAATATTGGCATAAGTGCAAATTAGTATTTCGCACTTATGCCAGTTTGCTCTTATGCCAATGTTTGCAAAATTATTTGGCGCACTTATGCCAATTCGCACTTACGCCAATGTTTGCAAATTTGTTTGGCGCATTTATGCCAATTCGCACTTGTGCCAGTTTTGTAAGTGATTCGCACTTTTGCCAGTTCGCACTTATGCCAATGTTTGCAAAATGTTTTGGCGCACTTATGCCAATTTGCACTTATGCCACGCTTCGCACTTATGCCAGTTCACACATATGCCAATTTGCGCTTATGCCAGTTCGCGCTTACGCTATTCACACTTATGAAATTCGCGCTTATTCAGTCATCCCATACAAATAGAGTTAAACTTGTTAAATAAAAATAGACCTGATTATTACAAATAGAGTTAAAAAAAAAGATATTGCTTTTTAGCTATTGCGGCTGTCACGACCGCAAATATACTTGATATAAATAAGTTGTATATTAAAACAACTTGTATAACTTGTATAAATATAGTTACTTGATATAAACGTACAATTTTAGTAACTCTCGTAATTTATATACAATTTATAGCAAAACGCTTAACTCAGGTTTCTTGCCTAAAACTTCAAGTTTGATTTGCACATTTGCAAATCATTATCTGAAAACTACCTGACGTAATTTCAAGTTTAAATTTTACATTCGCAAATCATTACCTGAAAACTACCTGACATGAAAATTCGATGCATGAATGGTTGTGATATTTATATTATTAGTGGTATAGATATTATAGCCACATGTGGCCACCACCTAAGTTGTATAAATACAATAGCTAAACATGGCCCACATTTAGACCATTCCAATAATCGAGTTTAGCCATTATTTTATGACGCATACGGCCAACATCAAACTTTCTCGTCGGGTGTATCTACCAGTTTTTGCGTTTAATCTGGTGGATTTTTGCATTTAATCTGGCGGTTTTTTGCATATAATCTGGCGGTTTTTGACATTCAATCTGGCGGTTTTAAAATTTATATCAATTTTATAATGCATGTTATGAATTGCTTAAGTTATTAGTAGTAATAAATATTCTACATACTCCAGTTAAAAATAAATTTAGATATGTAACAAATAATAATAATAATAATAATAATAATAATAATAATATATATATATATATATATATATATATATATATATATATATATATATATATATATATATATATATATATATATATATACATTAGTAAAAAATCACTTATCAAACTTTTTTCATTTTACACTGAGTTTCAGAAATAATATACATATATATATATATATATATATATATATATATATATATATATATATATATATATATATATATATATATATATATATATATATATATATATATATATATATATATATATATATATATATGTATATTATTTCTGAAACTCAGTGTAAAATGAAAAAAGTTTGATAAGTGATTTTTTATATATATATATATGTGTGTTATATATATATATATATATATATATATATATATATATATATATATATATATATATATATATGTATATTATTTCTGAAACTCAGTGTAAAATGAAAAAAGTTTGATAAGTGATTTTTTACTAATGTATATATATATATATATATATATATATATATATATATATATATATATATATATATATTATTATTATTATTATTTGTTACATATCTAAATTTATTTTTAACTGGAGTATGTAGAATATTTATTACTACTAATAACTTAAGCAATTCATAACATGCATTATAAAATTGATATAAATTTTAAAACCGCCAGATTGAATGTCAAAAACCGCCAGATTATATGCAAAAAACCGCCAGATTAAATGCAAAAATCCACCAGATTAAACGCAAAAACTGGTAGATACACCCGACGAGAAAGTTTGATGTTGGCCGTATGCGTCATAAAATAATGGCTAAACTCGATTATTGGAATGGTCTAAATGTGGGCCATGTTTAGCTATTGTATTTATACAACTTAGGTGGTATATATGGTATATATATATATATATATATATATATATATATATATATATATATATATATATATATATATATATATATATACATATACAAGTTCGAAAAAACAAGTTTAAAAAAATTATTACTTTATTCTCTATTAATGTCATCTCCATTAACACATTGTGTGAGAAAAGATTCGCAGTGTCTCACGAAGTTTGAAAGATCATGTTCAGTAAAGTGCTTACAACCGTTCCTCATTCGTTCTAATAAATCTTTATTTCCGATCGCAGCTATTTGTCCTCTTGTAGTATTCTTAATTTTCGAGGATGTCTCTTCACAAGGATTTAGAAAAGGTAAGTATCGGGGTAAAAAACGAATTTCATAGGGATAGCTATTATAAAAATCTGATAATGAATGATGAAACTTAACGTTGTCCATCACCAAGGTAAACTCTTCTTCTTCTCCCAAAATACTTTTAAGCGTATTTAAGAATCCTTTAAAGATTTCTGCTGTCACCCCTACGCCAATTATTGCTTCACAGTGGACTATGTTTAAACAATTTAATGCTAATATCATAGTTATGTTAAGGCCTCTTGATGATAACACACGTTGATTTGGGGTCGTTCCTCGGAGACTGTATCCATGGTTTCTTAGCATATAAAGATTGAACGGACTTTCATCGATGTAAATAATATTTCTGTAGAGTTGTTGCAATGTCAAGTTTAAATACCATAAAAGAAATGTTTTTTTTTATTCTTTTACCTCTGCAGTATTGCGTCTTTCACTAATGGGTCTTTTGTATGTATAATTATTTTTTGTATGTAATATTTTTTTGACCATAGCCATAATGTAGAAACATTGACATCAAGTCCCAATTCTACCTTTAACTCCTGTAGATTATAGTTTTTGTTATCTCCAATCAATTCGTGTAGCTTATTTCTTATTTCCTCAATACATCCTGACTGTCGAAAACCACCTCTAATACCAGGATTATTATTACCTGCTGATAAATATCGATGGACCAGGCATCGTATTGAAGTCTCACTTCTATGCACGAGTTCCGATACTTCTTTCACACTTTTCCCTTCGTTAATTACAAGATTAATGATCAAATTTCTTACTTCATCTCTGAGCATTGTCTTCGTGCGTTATTCATTTAAAATTTTTAAAAAATTTAAGAGAAAACGGGCTTTAATTGTACATAAGGAAGTTAAATTAAATAAAGCAATAAAAACAAAACTGTTTATCATGATAAAGAAAAACCACCAGATTAAATGCAAAAAACCACCAGATTAAATGCAAAAAACCGCCAGATTAAATGAAAAAACCCGCCAGATTCGTGCAAAAATCCACCAGATTAAATGCAAAAACCGGTAGAGAATTAAAAAGAAAATAAAAATTAAAGAAATCGGATCTCTAAATTTACTAGTAAAAAAAATACAAGTCTTCATTTTTATTTCGCTTATAAAAAGAACCAATATAATCAATATATTAACCCTCAATAAAACGTTAATTTATTATAAAATCTCAAAAAGTAAAAAAATAAAAATAAAAATAAAAAATTACAAAAAAAATATTTAACAAACATTTTTAAGAGAATAAAAATCTTTAAAAATATCTTTATAATCACAAAATTAAGTTACACCTAATATAAGTACGCAGATAAAGAATTCAGGCTTTAATAGATATTCAAGCCCCCAAAATTACTTTCACGTAGTAGAATGTAATAACAATGGAGAACGATACAATTAACACCAAAAATTTAATAATCACAAAATTAAGCTACACCTAATATAAGTACGCAGATAAAGAATTCAGGCTTTAATAGATCTTTAAGCCCCCAAAATTACTTTCACGTAGTAGAATGTAATAACAATGGAGAACGATACAATTAACACCAAAAATATATTGCTGATCATCGTCACCTAAAAAATTAGATAGTAATAATTTACAAGGACCATCACTATAAATCAACTATTTCAAAAAAGTGCAAAAGGGTAAAGACTAAAATAAATTTTTTTTTGATGCTAAACAAAGAGCTTTTCAGAATCAATAAATGCAACAATCAAAAAGAAAACAATAAAAATTGTAAAAAAAAAGTAATTCTGTTTTTCAAAACTTATATATTTGGTTAAGATATTTTTAGTATATCTACGTAAAAACATACATCTTTAAAAACACGAGTGCATTTAGGGTATAATCTTTAAGTAGTTTTTAAAGGTGGCACCCAGCAATCAATAAAAAAATTTTCAGATTGTATAAACAAGTTCACGTGACGCTTCGGAGAAATTAATGGTTTGTTTAAGGCAAGGTTACTCTTATCGTGACCCAGAAGCAATAGATTGATACTAAAGGATAAGAGAAATACCACGCGAGGAACTAGATGAAAAAAGTGTTTATCACTCAGAATATTACAAATACCCATCGTATAAATTTGCAATGTTTGCTTAAACACAGTAAATTTATTGCTAGCAATCCTGAAACTGAATCCATAAAAGACATAGATGAATCAGAAGATTCAAGCCAAATGTCAAAAAGTAAAGGAAAAATACTTTGTTCAAAATTTCAAGTCTACAACAAAGAAATTTGTATAACTTGACAATGTGAAGGCGGTAAACTTTAATAAGTTGAGTTAGCAAAAAGTTGAGACTGGGAAAAATATTTAAAGTTTCCAAATCGCCTTATGATCAAGAATTATTTCTTAAAATGAACAGTATTCCAAATTCTGATGACGCCGTTGCAAATGAAGTCAAATAAATATGTCGGCTAACAGCACAGAAAGCTGTTAAATTGACTTCAATTCTAGCAGAAATTCAAAAATTGGATAATATTGGATGGGTTATCACATATGTTAAGTCAATTTAAACTTAAAAGAAGATGGTTGTTATTGATATGAACAACATCAGTAAAAGTTACAATAACTTAATTGGAATAATGACCAGACTGACAAATTATAAACGTTACTTAAAAATACTTCTACAAAATAACATCCCAGGAATAATTTTTTTAAGACCTCCATGTCGAAAGTCTGAACAACTTAGCTCTAGCAAATACCAAGCAAAGGTGATAGATACCTTTAAAAACAACCCGCATGATTATACCACAATTTTTGAGGCAGCAAAAGTAATTCGAAAAGAACTCCTGCAGCAGAGAAAATAAAAGCTTGACAGAAATTTCAGTGGTTTTGACACTCCAATGTCCTTATTTTCTTTGCTAAGGTGCGTAGGTGAAACTTTGATCAAAAAAAAAAGGTAGACTCAATTTATGTTGAAAAAAATCAATTGATAACCATATTAATAACATTTCATAAATTATTATTATTAAAAAGCAAGAAGCAAAATCTCATATTGCTCAAAAACAGAAAAATGATCTTAGAGATATGTCTGAAACACTTTTTTCAGTTGGGCTTGGATTACATGTGCATAAAAAAACCCATAATAAGAAGCTGGTGGCATATCTTGAACTTTCCTATGATAGTGTTTTAAAGATCAAAAATGGTTTCGGAAACGCTGTTATTGAAAACATGTATAGAAATCAATGCACATTTGTACCTCTTAATATTCAAATAAAAATTTTTCAAAAAGGAATTCGCTATTGATAATATTGATTTTAGAAATGACACCTCTGACAGAAAATCTGAGTTTCATGTTGCATTTCAAAATAATTTGAACGCTAAAGGTATGATGCTCAAGATAAAGCGTACAAAGTATCTCACAATTTAACATACACTTGTCTATCTAATCCATAGTTGCACTATACTGAATCTACCCAATGAAAACTTTCAAGATTTTCAGTCTCATTAGTCAATCTTTCTTCATTTTGCACGATCGATTGAATTTGTAGGTTTTTAATGTGATCGACAAAAAATTTAAACTACCAACATGGAGTGCTTTAACTTCTTACTTTCAGATGTTCCTATATCTATGGTAACACATGGTATACCGATACATTCAGGTACACCGACTGATTAGAGTAACCTTTTCAATGCATTAAAGCTTCTTCAGGAAATTAACATTGCTGTCACAAGAAGTAAAAAACCAATTGCGACCCTTGATTTTCAGCTATTCAAAATACATGCAGCAACTACAAAACAATGAAATCATACAAAATTTCATTTTTCAATTTAGGGAACTATCTTAAAAGCCTTTTTAAAAGTTATTGAAAAGTACATTATTAGAAGTGGACTCGATCAGATATTGATAGAAGCAGGTGTTTACAACTCCAATACCTTTAACAGATACTTGAAGGGAAATGTATGAAACCTAGTATGGAAGCATTCATGATTTTATACCTAGCTTTTAACAAATTATACTTTGGTAGTTTCTTACTTCTTTACCCAGAGATTTGTGATGTAATGAAAAAGCATGGGCAAGAACTCCCACCAATAACTGATGAGTCTGCACAAGAAAGCTTTGAGCAAATGCTACTGTATTTCCAATCAAACACTATTGTAGAAAAAAGAATTTTGATGACACATTAGTTCAACAAAACTTCTTTTTGCACAACTGTATGTATGAAAAATTTCTTCAATTTGTTCGAGCATTTTGACAGGGATATTGGAAACTTCATCTTTCATTGCTTGATGCAATGATCCCTAATTTCTAGGCTCACAATGAGTATTATGCATATATTTTACAATTGTATTTTGTTACAATGATTAAACTGAAAAATTAGATATTACCTATATGATAGATATCCAAGCAATATCTTGAAAAAATTTCACTGTCAACAAGTTAGATATTCTTTTCTGTATTATTGGTTCTGATCATGCCTTAGAACAGGAAAACAAAGTTTTAAATGTAACAGGAGGGGTGTTTGGTCTTACACAAAATTCAATGTGTTTAAATTTTTTTTTTGTCTTATTGCTTCTAGGCAATAAGGCAAAAATAAGGTTTTAAATTTAAATCTAAAATCTTTTGCACAAAAAAATAACATTGGATCACAATTTTGCAAACAAAACTACCAACTCATGGGATCTACAAATGAAAAAATTTCATCTAATGCAGACAAAGCTATTGATGCATTTGATACATTTAGCATTAACTTCAAGGAAAATCAGATGGTTTTTAATTTAATATCCATAGCCATTTTGCTAAAAGAAGTAGCAGATGAATTAGTTCATCATGGAAAGATCAGAGAAGAGTGCTACTGCTCTTTTGTTACTGAAAGGGTCCAAGGAAACATATCTAAATGATCACAATGAAGATGTAAAATCTTAAAACATTCCAAAATTACCTCTGATAAAAAAAAAAAAAATACTGCATTAAGTAGAAGTCTTGTCAAAAAGATTAAAGATTGCAACACAACAAGGATAAACTATCATTATTGGTGGCATGGCCTTGGTCAATAAAGTTCATAAAGATAATAGTATTAAAACTTGGTAAAAAGGTAACATATGTTATTTATTGTCTACAGTAGTAGTTTCATTTGATCACATCATATACATTGTTCACTGTAATAACTGTGTATGTAGAATTGATAAGTTAACTGACATTGGCTAATAATATTTAAAACAAATAGCAACATTGTAATCTGTTCCTTGACCCTGGTATACGCAAGTATGTATATATTATGCAACAGTAATACTCATATTTATTTTATTATTTAGGACTTTGCTGCAATATTTATTAGCATGCTTAAAAAATCTTTAAACTGCAATGAGATAAGATTGGTTTTTGACAGATACATTGAACAGTCATTAAAATAAGTCTAAAATAAGAAAAAAATGAATCTTTGGCAATGAAATTAAATACAAAGTAAATAATGACTCTATAATTTGTAATAAGTTGTTAAAGCAGTTATTGGAGCACATTGAAACTAAGCAAGCTCTTACCGCATACCTTGCTAAATATATGAAAAATATAGGTAATGCAGTTTGCTTCATTGTGACATATTCGAACCAACAAAAGCAAATGTGAAACATCTGTCTGCAGAAATGATGAATCGTGATCACATAAGGCTAACACTGTTAATTCTGCATGTTATAGATGTTGCCCATTTAAAAAATGTTTTGTGCATTCACTAGATACTGACAATTTTTTACTTTTAGTTCACTTTTATCAAGCCATGCGTCACAATCTTCCTAACTGGTAGAGGGGATAAGGAATGGGACATCTTGATTGGTTCTAAATAAACACAAGCTATTTTAGGTATTTCTGTTTAATGTTTTTTCTCATTGTTAATGAAAATAATAGTCATTTTTTTCTTTAGGTTTTCATGTGTTAATTGGCTGTGATCAAATGGGTTGCTTTTCTGGAATCACTAAAAAATTATGGTGGAAAAAATTTATCAAAGCTGACAATGGAACCCTGACTTTACTATCAAATCTTGGTCAATCAGAAGCTTTAGCTGATCTATTGAACGTTTTGTAATTAGAGTCTACAATGATAAAAAATGAACAAAAGATGTTAATACTCTTTTACAACTTCGTAGGTTCCTTTTCTCTAAATTCCAGTATGATGCTGCACAACTTCCATCAACAATAAATGTCCTTAAGTACCATATATTCCATAGTCACTTATGTTCAGTGCTTAAACGCTATAACATGCCCATACAGTATTTATTACCACTTGTGGAATATGGTTAGGAATTAAATAACAGATCTCTTGACCCCTTAATGAATGATAACCTGTAAGCACCAATAGCACTTATTGAGTTGAGCATATGCCATTGTAAAGAAGACTATAGTTATAAAAGGTGCAAATGTATGAAAAATAAACTTGTATGTACTTATATCTGCAAATGAAACAGATGTACAAATAATAGTACAGATTATCAAAAAGAAAACATGTATAATTATGACAGTGAAGATTTATAAGACATAATTTAAATATATAATCTACTAATAAATACTAGCTTGTTAGTACATAACTTATTAACATATATTTCTAACATTTAAAAAGTTTTTAAATCTAAGAATGAAATCTTAGGATATTTGAAGTTTTTCATTAAATATCATTATTTTCATTTTTATTACAAAGTTAAATGACTTAATATTGTAAATTAAATATTTTCTGGGGTCTTTTTCTTCTCTTGATTAAATATTGTAAATTGTAAATACCATTTTGGTTTTTTAATAATAATGTTTGTATGTTTATACAATGCAAATTTTAACATTTTTAATACAATACCAACTAAATCATTTAATTCTATTTTATTTACAAAAAATGTTTATTGAGAGGTAATTTCTTTTACCGACCCCGGTTTGGTAAAAGACATAATTCCTTAAATCTTATGAAATAAAAATTTTCAACAAAAACTTTTTATATGATTTTGAAAACATGCTCTTTCTACTAGTACAAAATATTTGAAAAATAATGATTAAAACTTTTTTGGTGTGGGGGCCTATTGCATCATACCACTTGACACAAAACATAAAAAATAAGTGACACCTGTCATTTTTCACATCCTTATCATGCAAGAATCTCATATCAACAAAAAAATGGGCACACAAAGAATTTTTTTAAAACATAGCGGCCTACAGTCTGAGAAAATAATAGAAGTGTTTCAATATTAATTGGTTCGTAAATCATTCATAAAAGTTATCTTGAATCACGCTTTTGATCAAAAATTTCAAATTTGTACCTAAATATCTAAATATCATGATTGATATTTTTAAAACCTTTTATATTCTAACATGTTCATATTGAAGGACTAGAAAAAAAACTTTAAATAAAAATAACTTCAACTAAAATATCTAAATAAAAAAAAACATTGCATTTAGCAGGTTATTAAAAAGATAAATCCAACTAAAGTATAATTAGAAAGCCAGAAAATTAAAGAAAGATTGTTCAAATTAAAAAGTTATCATATCAAGTATTTTGATTAAATTTCATGTAGTGAAATTTACTGGCCAGAACTTTTTTTTTAATCTAATCTATATCTAATTTTTATTAAAGAATAAAACCAGTACCTGTTTTACTGGATAAGGTCTTTCAACCTCTTGGAGTGAGAGTGTAAAAGTATCCATTGGATGATCTTCAATGACTAGTTAGATTGTTACAAATTTATAAACTCACAAAGTTATTAAAAAAGAAAAAATAAATAAATCTAAAAAAAATTTAATTAATTAAAAATTGGTTACCTGGAAAGTAGTTGTGTTTACTTTCATAGTAATATTTTATAATGTCAAGTGTGATAAACATTATAAAGATACTTGCAAAAAATGCCACAACCACTTCATTACCAATTCCAAACTTTGCCATTCCAAACATGATTGCAACTACTAAATGTTAATATAAACCTTGTATTTTCATTTTTATTGTGTAACTATAAAAAATACATAACTAAACAAAATGACATAAAAACAACACAAAAAAACAAACAAACCCGCAACACTCCAAGCTAAAATTCCAACAATTCGGTGTACCCATGTGAAAATAAAACGTCTAAAATATTTCATTAAAAATGTAAAATAAAAATAACATAACATGATGAACAGATAAATTGAAAAGCAGAAAGTGAATTGAACTAAATGAATTGAATAATGAAGAAATCAAGTGAAACAATTTTTTTACTGTATTCACCTTCTCCCTAAGACTAAGGAGGTCACTACAATCAAGTTTCATTTTTGATTGCAATAATAGTTTGATGAATAAACGAATTTATAGAGATAATTTATAACATATATATATATATATATATATATATATATATATATATATATATATATATATATATATATATATATATATATATATATATATATATATATATATATATATATTAGTTCAGCATTGCTGAATGCTAAAATTAATTTCGAGGGCTGTATAATATATAAATATAAATTAATAATAATAATAATGAAAATAATAACAGCTATTAATAATTATAGGAACACTTACTTTTTGTCATCAATATTGCACCGAAAAAAAGCGAAAATTGGCTGTAAATTAAAATATATATAAAATCAATATAGGTTTAAAAATAAAAAGAGCATAAAAAAAAAAAGAGAAAATAAAAATAAAAAGAGAAATATAAAAGGATATTTCAATATATTCTATTTCAAGGATACTTTAGATAAATTCAAACCATTTACTTGAAAAATGCAAAGAATAACAGCTGCTAAACCGAACCAATTATGCTTATCAGGGTTCTAAACAAAAAAATTAAACTTTCTAATTTATCAAATAATTAGCAAAACTTTAAGTCTTATATTTGAAAAAAACAAATTAAACTTTAATAATAGTTTAGACTAAAAGACCCACCTGAGACCAACCATTTAAATGTCTTACAATAATAAACATACTGCAGCAAATTAAAATAATGGATAAAACCATGCAAAACTGATGAAGCTAAAAATATATATAAATAAAACATATAAAAATAAAAAATCTTTAAGTAATTTTTAACAAATATTATATATCAAATGTTTATTTTTTAACAAATAGTAACAAGTTTTTCAATGTGTAGCTCTACAAATATTCAAATGATGTCAAATGCATAGCCTTACAAAATAGTAAAGGCTTTATATTACTATATTATTAAGGCTTTATATTACTATATTATATTATATTATTAAGGCTTTATTTACATAATCTTTCAAATATTAAAAAGTGTCTGATACAGTTAAGAGGTTTAGATAAAAAAAAATTAACCTCAACAGTTTACTTTTGTTTCAATGATCTCTAGGGAAAAAATTATAAATTGAAAAAAATAAATAATAAACCAACTTATATTCTCATTTTAAACTTTTAAAAAGAAGTCTATTTACAGACTACAAGCTTTGTTTTAAAGCATTATGCTGTATGCACAAAATTTGCAGCTGACAAAATTTTAATTATGCTTAAAATTTTCTTAAAAAGCTATTTTAACCCTCCATCAGGCGCAACCATTTTGTAACTCGGGAAGGCGCATTGTATCAAATTGTTACGCATAACAATTCACTAGTTTAATATATATTTTTTTTAATTTTAATTTTTTTTTTTTTTTTTAAACTGCTTAAATAATCTTTGAACAAATATGAAATATTTGCAATAATTAAAAATTCCATCACAATTACTATTTTCAATAAAAAAAGGAGCAATTGATCAAATTGATACAAATTTTGAGTGGCTATTTTAAAAAGCTAAATATAATAAAAAATTTAAAAAAAAAATAGTTTTTTAATTCTTTGAAAAGAAGTGTAACATTTATATAATATTAATTTAATAAGTTAATCACAATGTTCTATCATATCATTTTGAACGTCAAAACCTGGTACAGTTTTTGCGCAATTGCCGCAATAGCTTTTTAGGTGTGTATTATACCTTGTTAATTGTTTATTTTGTTAAGTTATGTACGCTTATTATTTCTCAAATAAGAGACCAATAAATGCCTTTAATTCCACCAAATCTAGTTTTTTGACATCTCTTTCTCTCTGAAATTGGTTACTAATGGTTTCAATACAGAAATTTGTACAGTACAAGATATTATTTAGAATATTGTCACTGAACAGACAACTTCAACATTCAATAAGGGATTTAACTTGATTTGCAGCACCAATAACTCTGGGGAGTTTTCTGATTAGGTCATGGCTTACAATATGCCCTTGGCTAGACGATGGATTCTTATTCCATTTACAGTTAGTGTCTTTTCCAACATAAAAAATTGTTATTATTGTTTCATTAAAATCAATACTTTCAAGTTCTTCTTCTGTATTTGAATTGAATGGCATCTGCAACATCTTCATCTTCAAAATCCTTTACCTCTTCTTCTTCATCTAACAGATTTTTTCAAAGTTCCTTTGTATCTTTTGAACTTTTAAGATTAAATAATCTCACACTATCATCTATTTTAGAGGCAAATAGAAGGAATTACTAATATATTAAAAAAAAATGAACAAATTAAAATAATATTTAAAAAAACAAATAAATAATGTTTTAATTATAAGTACAAAAGATTTATATCCAACCTTTTGTAATAAAGACTTTTGTTACCAATAACACTCTAAGGCGCAATGTATCAATTTGATATTTTAATTAAAAAAATACATCCCCATTGAATTGAACAACAGTTAATACCAAATTATGTCTACAAATTTAAAAATGTATTTACCAGATATAATTTTTTAAATTATAATCGAACTCATAAAATGTAACATACAAGGGTGCAATGTGATACATTGCGCCCTTGATTTTTATAATTTAAACAAAATGATAAAAATCAATTCATATAAAGTGATTTAAACATGTTTGATGATGTAGAACAATAAAAGAAGAAAAAAAATGAAGCTACTAAAAAGCAGAACATTACTCAAAAATTCATACGAGATAAAAATGATTAAATTGATATACATTAATCAAAATTTTGTTAAAGACTTAAACAAAATTAAAAATTTTGTTTAAGTCTTTAACAAAAAGTGATTTTTTGTTTAACTGGTGAACATTATGTTTAAGTGGTAGACATTTAGCTTAAGTGGTAGACACTATGCTTAAGTAGTAGATATTTATGCTTATATGGTAAACATTATGCTTAAGTGGTAGACATGCGTAAATAATAGACATGCTTAAGCGATAGACACTATGCTCAAGTGGTAGACACTATGCTTAAATGGTAGACACGGGTTATTGCTGGGTTATGATTATTATTACTATTGTTTATTATTTTTAACTTTTAGACTTTTAGGCCTTTCACAAATGAATGAATTGACTAAATAAAATAGAATAGTGGTTGATTTGAACCTAAAAGTCAATTTTAGATTTTTCAGAGTGAAATTTTAAAATTCAACTCGCTTAAGTTTTATTAAAAAATTACTTGTTGCAATGAATCGCCTCAATTTGCCTCCGAAAAATTGCGTCACTGCATGCTAGTGTGTCACTGCATGTTAATATGTTGCTGTATGCTAGTCTATGACAAAAAAGATAAAAATACAACAGTTTACTGATTACAAATAGTCAAAAATAACTACAACAGAAAACTATCATTCCTAGAAATAACATATGGGATTCAAAATAGGCTGTTTCATGTGCTCAACATACATTCAACAACACAAACAGAAGTGTGTTCATATGAGGGGACTTCAGTACATCTACTAAAAGTTTAAGTTTAGGCATGTAGTATATATGTAGGACATTATGGCATACATATCGTCCTTAAGAATTAATATTGTTGAGCAACTAATGTCCTTAACATGTAATATTGTTCAAGCATTTAAATATAACTGCATCTTAATCAATAGAGGTTAGAGAAATAACTGTTGGCTACTTAATATTCAAGTTTTGGAAAAAAAATGGCCTTAAAAGCGAGTAAACTTGATACTAGACTTTTAATTTAGAATATAGTTTTATAAGTTTATAAATTTTTGTGATTGTTTATAAAAGTTTATAAATTATTGTGATTGATGAAGAATATATAGTATATATTATGATGAAACATTAGGGTTTTCTTATGATGAAATTTTAGGGTTTTTTTTATGAATAAACTTTACATAGAGTAAATACTTGATGACACAAATATTTTACTGTGCTTCTTTATGTAAACACACAATTTAATTAAGTAAAATACACATAGCATTAAATTTAAAACCAGTAAAGAACACCAGTTAATTTTGCTTGGTCAAAAGAACCACTTATAGAAAGCTTGTTATGTTATATGTTAACATAATATTTTATTTTGCCTAAATACTTAAGTTATCACTGAGGTTACATGTTGGGCATTGTGTAAGTGTTAATAGAATAAGTTTATATAGTAAAATTTTGTAATTAAACAATACCCTAAACCAGCATTCTTTGCCAAACACATGTTCGGTTAATTGAGGCTTCATATAACGAGATATGAAAATGCCAGATGTAACAAATATCAACCAAGCAATTATCATAAGCACTCCTAAAAAATACCAAATAATAGCTGAAATTAAACACACAAAATGACAATTAAAAAAACACCAAATAATAACTAAAAATAGACAGAAAACGTAAAAAAAAAAAAAAAAAAATTGTTTAACTAAAGTTGAAAAAAAAATTAAATCAAAATGAAATTTTAATAATAAATCAACATTCAAAGTAAAATTTAATTCAAAATAAAATAAATATCATTCAAATGAAGTGTTTTTAATGCTTAAAATACACACCATGAGTTTTAGACATGTTTGATGATGTGATACCATTGTTTGATACTAAAATGCTATAAGACATGTTTGTCGATGAATTGTACCGTGTTTTTATAAAATCTATAGCTGTTTCTGATTTAGAGTAAGAACTATGGTAGCCAGGTTTTTCTAAATAAATAAACATTTACAAATATAATAATATTTTATTATATCTTTAAAATTCACTCAAAATACAATATTAACTTATAAGTAATTATAAAAAACAGTTTTGATTTACCAAGATCATCTTAGTAAGCAATTTTTTTATTTCAATTTTACTCAACACTGGCTTTTAGTCAGTGTTGACAAATACAAAAGTACCAGGTTTATTTTTCTTGATTTACCAAATCATAATAATCTATAAATATTAATAACATAACGCTTCCAATGAATGCTCACCATTCATGCGCACTTTTACACGGAGTTTTATGAGCATGCTTGGCCTTTTATATATTTCTCCTTTTGACCACGCAATGAGGTACTCTTGAATCTATTAATATCTGTTTAGTCAGTAATAAGATCGAAAACTTTGCTTCATCAACTTAATTAGTAATAAGTAATAATTTTAAGATTTTAATTAAAAAATGATGGTGACTCTAAAAGACGATGCTCTTTTCAAGAGGTCAAGCTCTTGATAAAGTTAGTGTTGTATATATATCTTGCATCTCACACAGTTACATGTTAGAAAGAACAATGTTAAATACCTTAGAAAGAACAAGGAAGAACAATGTTAAATACCTTACCTTTAAAAAAGTTAAAAAATTTGTTTGCTTTTATATAAAAAACCAGATCGTATGTTTTTCGAAGTTGTTATACATTTATTATACAAGGTATGTCATTAAATAAAAATAGGGTTGTATTTGTAAATATCAAAATATTCTTTGGTCAGATGAGACTAAAATTAACTTGTTTGAGTCAGATGCATTGAAAAAATATGTCAGAAGACCAAAAGGAAAAGAATATGATCGTAGATATTAAAATATGGGGTTGCTTTTCATATTATGGAGTAGGCTCCCTTTTTTGAATCAAAGAAGAAAAAAGAAATATATTTAAATATACTACAGGATGTGATGCTAACACTTGCAGATAAAAATCTACCTGGTCTATCAACAAGATAATGACCATGGATCTATTAACAAGATACCAACAAGATACCCCAAAGCATACTGTGAAGGTAGTAAGAAATTAGTTTCATAACAAGAAAATTCAGATTTTGAAGTGGCCAGCCCAATCACCAGAAATAAATTTGATAGAAAATCTCTGGGCAAACATAAAAAATGAATTAGGAAAACTTCCTAAGACCAAAAATAAAGATGAACTGTGGAAAAACATTCAATACATTTGGAAAAACATTCAATACATTTGGAAAAACATTCCAATAAGTACATGCCAAAAATTAATTGATGCCATGTCGAAAAGATGTGCAGCGATAATTGCAAATAAAGGGTATACAACCAAATATTAATAAATTATGAGTAAATAAAATTTTCACTTATTATTGTTCACAATTTCCAATAAAATTTGTACTTAATTTTAATTTACCCTTTTTTTCTGCACAGTAGATATTTGTAAAAATAATCTAGTTATATAGACTAGTAAATAAATTTTGTTTTGTTTCATGTTACGTTTCATTAAAATATTAGTTAACAGTTAAATTAATTATATAATAACAATTTAAATAAATTAGAAAAAGTTATATATATATATATATATATATATATATATATATATATATATATATATATATATATATATATATATATATATATATATATATATATATATGTATATATATATATATATATATATATATATATATATATATATATATATATATATCCTTATAGTGTAGCGGAAAGAAACTTAATGTAAAAAAAGTCTCTTTCCACTACAATTTTGCTACCTCGACAATTAAGCTACATTTTATTGTCGTCGAAATGTCAAAGCAATTAAATTAATGCAAAGTACTTTAAATTTTATTGTTTTTTAAAAAAACCACAATAATAATGACTAGAAAGTTTATTTTAATTAATGGAGTTTTTGTTGTTGTTTTATTAAAAAATATTTTTAAAACATGAGTGGAGTGTTGCTACATTGACTATCTTATAGCCTGACTCACAACGGAGTGCTGCTACATCGACTGACAAATAGCCTGACTTGCAAGAGAGCGCTGCTACATCCACTGACAAAATATCTTGACTCGCAAGGGAGTACTGCTACAACAACTGAGGGTTTGGTTTGGACAGGCAGTCTATTATTTACGAAAAAAAAAAAAAATTATTAAAGTTTTTAGACTTTTTCTGGTCTGGTTTAAAATTGCGTTCTTTAGAACTACAGTTTATAGGAAAAACTTTCTGAATACCATGCAAGACTAAATATATATATATATATATATATATATATATATATATATATATATATATATATATATATATATATATATATATATATATATATATATATATATATATATATATATGTAGTGATGCTATTTTGTGCATATACTATCAAGAAAGTGCTCGATAAACTAAATAAAAAAAAGTCAGAGCTATAATATATATATAGTAGAAAATAAAACTACGTGATTTTCACAACTTTAAGTTTCATCAGGTGAAATACAAATATATTTTGTTCGTTTAAAAAATTATATACAATTGAAACTATACAGAAAAAAACTATACGGAAAAAACTTTTTTTTATTGTTACAATCGCGTGTATTTAATCTTCAGGTTTGTGGTTGCTCAATAGAAATTTATTTTCATGACGACACTTGGAGATTAACTCCAAGTGTCGTCATGAAAATAAATGGGAAGCAGATGTTTTCTAAAAATAAAAATTATTTGTATGGGTATTATCTTCATGTTATATGTGTTGCCTAACTATTATGTCACATGATTTGGTCATGGTGTAGTTGAATAGAATTATGAAGGTGAAGTTTATTCACTCCAAGAGAATCTTGGTTGAGTAAAAACAGAGATAGATGAGTCAACATAAATATTCATCTTGGGCAGATGTTAACTGCATCTAGCTACTGCTACTGCAAAATAATCAGTTTTTCATATAAACATAGTAAACATTTTTTTGCTTCATTGTTGTAGGCAGGGGCTTTTTTCAGGATAGACCAAGTTAATTCTGGTGTTTCTTTTAGTTTTTCTCTAGTATATATATATATATATATATATATATATATATATATATATATATATATATATATATATATATATATATATATATATATATATATATATATATATATATATATATATATATGTATATATATATATATATATATATATATATATATATATATATATATATATATATATATATATACATATATATATATATATATATATATATATATATATATATATATATATATATATATATATATATATATATATATATATATATATATATATATACATACATTATTATATATATACATTAACTATAAAAAGCAGCAAATACAGAATCATTTTGATGTTTAAATCAAAAATCAGCAAAATCAGAAATGAAAACCCAAATCAGCAAAAACAGAATGATACTTGAAGGAATCAGAGACAGAAAAGAAGTCTTGAACATTATCTTCATCAGGTTCAAACTGATGGTATTTTTTGGTTCCTCTTTCAAAAAATGGTTTGATTGTAACCAATTTTAAACCTATTACACCTCTGCATGATAAAATTTTGTTAAAAATCTATGTGCAGCTTTACTGCACATAGATTTCAAAACCTTATGGCAACATAAGCATTTTTGAAACTTAGTTGCAGCACAAACATTCTAGGCATATGTACATTTTTCCTTATATTTATAGAATGCCTCAATTTGTTTTTGTTGCTTCCATTTCCTTTCTTTATTAGCTTGCTTCTTTTGGCTTTATCTTCTTTGAATAATTAAACCGTTTCTAATATTTTTTCCCCCCTCCATTGAGACCTAATATTTGAATTAAATCAGTATCACTTGAAGATATTGAGACCTATTAAATCAATATCTTCAAGTGATATTGATTTAATAGGTCAATGATATATTATACAACTAGATGTCTTAAGGGATTTTATTAGACAAAAAATAAAGCTGTTTTTTTTTTGTTTATAACAATAGTCCGCCATTTGTAAAAAGGACAAAATCTGAAGCCAAAGTGTGGAATGAAAAAGTTTAATATGCAAGTCAAAAGTTCCCAATATATTAAAGATAATTCAAAAACAAGTAACTATAAAATACTTATAAAAGTTTTTTTATGAGCCTCTGTTTATTAAAAAGTAAATAAATTCATAAAAATGCTTTAAAAGCGTCTGTCGTCTTACTTTTCTATTCAAAACTTTAATCCCTTTAAAATCAAAAATAAATTAAGGAATCATAAATTATTATTTTAAAAGTATTCTAATTTCCGATTAACACTTTTACGTAAATAGTCTTTAAATTTAAATACAATTACTTCATTTAAGAAAAAAAAGGTTAAAATTACTTTTTTACAAATTTAATCTGCCATTTGTAAAAAAGGCAAAAAGTGGCTTCACTTTTAGGATTAGACATCTAGTTATTAAAATATATCATTGTATTAGGTATTATTTGATAAGCTTTCACAGCACTTTCATATTTATATTTCCAATAACTTCCTGAGCCATAACAAATATCTCTGGAGATAAAATTGTTAGTGCTGTTGATGATTGATTATTTTTAGTATTTTCATTAATACATAGCTCGGTTTGTAGAAACTTATCTTCCTGCATCTACTTAACACTAAGTCCTTCAGCCTTCACTTGGAATCCCAAATTTTTACCTGCATTTATAACTGTTTGTTTTGATGTTTGTTTTGAACAAAATAAACAAATAAAAGTTGATTTAGCACTTCTGTAATCAGAGCGATTTCTGATTGATTTGTGTCAGATAAAGTGATGAAAAGTCGAATATTTTTGCTTCTTTGAAATGTCATCACTGTTAAATTTTGAAGAATAACAATCAGATAGAACAACAGGTCATTTTATATTGCTTTTTTCTAAATATTTGTCAAACATTTGATATGATATAGTGTACTGTGAGCTTGGCTGCCACTGTCATTTGTAGAGATTAGGAAATTTAGAATTTGTTTAACCGCTTTATTAGAGTCGCGGAGGCACTAATTCCCCTTCCCTTAAATATGTGGCACATTTCTGTATCTCCTTTAAAGAAAACAAAAGAATGTATAGTTAGACACTCGCTATTTTCTCTTATCTTTTGAAAATGTTTCCCTCTCCCAGCATAAACTAAATCATTTGCAGTACCTTCAGCTCTATAGTTTACAAACTAGAGATGTTTTATTATGATTTTTAAGTCTAATGGTATCAATATCTCAACGCCACACACCCGTTCCTACTTGATTTGCATTAATAAAAATATTACTTTTTATAAGTTCTTCAGCTAACTCATTTAGATTGTTACACATCATTTCATTTGTGCAGATAATGACACAATTTTTAGATACAGCTTTTTTTTTAGATACAGCTTTTTTTTTGTGATGTAATTTTGATATTTTGCATACCAACGCTTTGAAAACAAGTTGATGTTTGGAGCGGTTGTTGAGCACTCGAAACTGATTTGACATCTACAGAGGTTTCTACAGGTTTGCTTTCCTAATCCCAAAACATTCAAAATTGTTTTTGTCAACTCTGACTTGTTTAAACCTTGCAGGCATCTAAATAAAATATTGAAACTACAATACCCAAAAACTATACACTACAAGTTTATAATTATAAAAACAAAGATTCTATTCCTTTTAACTTGAACAGTTTATAAAAAAAATAGTTTTATTTCTCAATCACGTGTATTACCTATTCTTGTTTTTAATATAAAAGACTAGCAACTCTTCCACATCGTTGGTAAAAACTGAACAATAAACTTCTATCCAATTTCAATGACAGCAAGGAGTTTGTTAATTTTTCTTTGATTTTTAACTAGTGGAGGTTTAATATTAAGAGAGGTTTGATAGCAGAACTATACAGAAGTATACTATAGATAAAATTATCATTTAATAATGTTGAGAAGATTTTGAATAAAAAAATAACTTTTAATTTTTTTATAAGTTAAGTTTCGTTTACCGAGCATTCTGAGATTCCTTAACCTAGTTTTATAGCTGAATATAAAAAGTAAAAAGGATAAGTGAATCAAACATTAAAAAATATAATCAGCATGCTTTTATGCAGAAATTTATGATTTTCTAACCGAAATTAAAAGTATTACAACTTATTATTTAACCTAATATTTTGAGATCCCTATTGAAAAAAGTATATCCAAAATATTTTTTTAAAGACATGAAAATCCCCCAAAAATTTAACCTTTTTGGCATTTTAACAGAAGTATTTTGTCAACTATAAAAAGTTGACATAATACCTGGCATTCTGAGGTCCTTTTATTTGAAAAAGGACCTCAGAATGCTAGGTGCTAATGCTTTTAAATTGGCTGGGTAAGTTGTCTATAATCTCATGCTTATGGGTTAGAACTAACTTCAACCAACTCTCCTTTTTTGTAGTTTTTTAACTTAAAAAAAAAGTATAAACAAAGCTTTACCTTTCAATGACGGTCCGGATGCAATTGCTACTGAAAGAGGTAAACTCATGTCATATAAATCAGCTATATTTGAAATGGATCTTTCAAACCTTAAAACAAACAACAAAAACTTTTTATTTTATTAAACTTTTTTTTTTTAGTAAAATAAAAAAATAAATTTTTATATGTATACAATTTAAATTACAGTTAGTAAAAAATTTAATGCATAAAAGTTAAAATCGCATTTTGAATTTTAGGAATTCAATACAAATACATAAAAAATTAAAATACTATGTAATGTAATTGTGATTGCATTACATTGCATTTTATATATATTAATTATTTATGAAAATTATTTAGATCATTGCATGTTATAACAAATGTGTATTGAATACAAATAATAAACTAATAATTTTCGCTACACTTTTTCCTTAATAAATTGCTTTAAATTAAAAAATAAAACAAAACAAAAAAGTTTCATGGCTAATTGTTATTTGTTACTACAATTTAAAGACACAGAATCTATTTAAAATAACTTTAAAAAATACATATTTGCATCAGTTATGAATAAAGAATAAAACTCTATGTCTATCTTTACTTACTTGCATAATATAGAACCATCTGGCTTTGTTTCTGCTGATAACAAAGTCACTCCAATTATCTAATTATAAAATTAATTTTTCAAAGGTATATAAAATTTATAGATTATCATAAAACTAAAATATTTTCATTTTTAAGAAAATCAACCACCTCGCTAATCCATTGTGGTTCACCAGGAGTGGCTGGTGCCAATTTGTTTCCATTAAAACTTCCAAATACAGGAATATTTCCTGATGAACCTTGACAATACTGACCTTGCAGTTTGTACTAAAAAAAATACTACAATTAAAATATTTTATTAATCATTAAAGCTGTCAAACATGTTTATTGGTCATTTTTTGGGTAGTTGTCTGACTAACTTATTATTGTTTAACCAATTAATTTATGGAAATGTTTATGATAACAAAGCTTACATATGCGTCTAATATTGCATGTTATAAAAGATCTGACATTGAAATTCTATTAATAAAGCATAAAGTACCTAAATAGACCTATAAGGTCTGTTTAAGTACTTTATGCTTTATTTTAAGGACTGTTAAATGTGAACAATAAAGGAATGAGGAATATAAACAATAAACTTAAAGACTAAATCTATAAAACTAAGTGTATTATAGCAAAATAAAGTGGTTTGGGAAGCAGATGTTTTCTAAAAATAAAAATTATTTGTATGGGTATTATCTTCATGTTATATGTGTTGCCTAACTATTATGTCACATGATTTGGTCATGGTGTAGTTGAATAGAATTATGAAGGTGAAGTTTATTCACTCCAAGAGAATCTTGGTTGAGTAAAAACAGAGATAGATGAGTCAACATAAATATTCATCTTGGGCAGATGTTAACTGCATCTAGCTACTGCTACTGTAGAAAGCCTCTTAAGCACTAGGCCTCTTAGGCAAAGACTCTAGAGGTAAGTAAATGATTTCTGTTGACCAACCTTAAACCTCTTCATCATCTAATAGGCTGGCATAAATGTAAACATGTTTTGTATTGTTTCTTCTCTAGAATAATAAACTTTTTTATCCATATGCTTGTTGAGTACAGAATGAAAGACAATACCAGATTTACCATATATGAAATTACGAATATTTTATCAAAATAACATAAATACTCTAGTCTTGATAAAAAATTATCTCTATTATTCTTTTTAACTCAGTTATTTACTGCTAGCAATTATTGCAATATTGTTGATATATTGATGAGTGGCAACTCTTTTACTGAGTCTTTGACATTTTCTCAGATTATCATTTACTACAGATCTTTAATGGAAACCATATATACATCCCATAGACAGTATACCACTGTTACAGTTACCATTAAATAGATTTTAAAAATTTTAAACATAGGAGTACAATTTGGTATTATTAAAACCAAGTAAAACTAATTATTTCAAATTCAAAGTTTATTCAAATAAATTTAAAACTTAAAGGAACTACCAAGTCCCAAGACATGTTGTGTTCATATTAAAGAGAATGTTAAAAAAAAATGTCTGAGCAAATTTTTTTTGATTAAAACTAATTAATAAATGTATATTAAGAAAAACAAATCTTGTTGCTTTAGTCGAAGCTCGTCTTCTCCATTTTCTGTGGTATTTTGAGTCTGTAAAATAAACACGATTTTCCAGGCGCATTATAAAGACTTGATAATTTATTCAAGCGTGTTTAATTCATAGGAGTTTTAGTGCATGACATCATAGTTTTTTTTTGTTTGTTTAAAACACCGATTGTTATTTTTTACATACAATTTCCAAATCATATTCATTTTATTATATTTTAAAGTTCTAAAATGTGTTTGTAAAAAAATTAAAAAAAAAATAGTATTTTATTTGCGCAAATTTTTTTAAATAATCGTCCAGACCACGTGTATTTTGATTTCTTTTGTTATAAGTTTATCTTTCAAAATATTAGATAAAATAATTTTTAACCTGAATAATAATGCACTTTTATTAATTTACTTTGTAAACATTAAAAAAAAAATTATTAACGCACTTTTTCTCTGATTTTCAAAAATGTATTTTTTGGTATTGAGGTGATCTTATTTCATTATTTATATATCCCTTATTATAACATCCAATATATATTATAGCGGGGGCTTAAAAAATAAAAAAATAATATACATTAATTTTTATTTTACAGACATACATGGAAACATAATTAACTTGAATGTTCTTAAAACATCTTGCAGAAGAATAAAAAGAATATTGGCAAACACTAAAAACCCGCCAAATTTGCGAACAAACTAATTCTATTGGTTCAAAAAATACGCTGACTGAGCGAATAAAAGTTATAGAGTATTTTGTTGAAATGTTTTAGAAATTGTATTATTTACGATTTGTTGCGTTTTGAGATATCTAGTATAAATTTTTTTAAGAATATATTATCAAATGAACTATTACTTTAATATTATGGCTCATTCTTGGAGCCACATCTGTAAAGCCGTAAATCTTTTAAAATATTATCATTTGTTTACAAAAATAAATGTTTTATAATATACATTTTTTAAATTGTCAAAATTAATTAACTTAATTTTGACAATTTAAAAAATATATATTATAAAAATATATAACTTGAAAGTTAATTACAAATTATATATTTTATTAGTATATTCTTAATTTTTATATCTTTTCTTAGTTTTACCACAGAAAATGGAGAAGACGAGCTTCGACTAAAACAACAAGATTTGTTTTTCTTGGTATAGATTTATTAATTAGTTTTAATCAAAAAAATTTTGCTCAGATGTTTTTTTTTAAGATTTTCTTTAATATGAACACAACATGTCTTGGGACTTCGTAGTCCCTTTAAAACATAACTTAATTATAATCCCTTAAATATAATTTTTATTCTTAATTGTTAAGTTAGGCAGTTAGGCGAGATCAGTTCAATGTTCCTGGCTCATTACACTTCCCAAATAACATTTTATCAATCCAAAAAAGAACTCTCAACTGTCACAAAATTGCAACTAGAACAAGTACATGTAGTTTATCTAAAAATAATTACTTATCAATGCATTCAATTCTATGAAAAGCATTTTTGTAGGATGTTTTTAATTATCTAATCTATATTTAAATAATTAAGCAAAAAATTAAATAAAACCAAAATTTATTTCTAAATGTAAAACATATTTAAACTCTTTCAAAAAATTTTTTATGTACAAATAATATTTATTGATACCTTGTTTTATATATTACTTTACTATTTTTATAAACACACTTTTTTATTTATATATTTATAATTTTAAATATTATTTAAATCAAATTAGAAAAAAATTATAACATTATTATTGATTTATAAAAATATTATAATACATTTATAACATTTTTTTTTTCGTTGAAAAATACGCAAAATTAATGCAACAAATTGGCATTTATGATTTATAATAAATGTTTACTGTATAACATTTGTTATAAATCATAAACATTTATATTAACATTTACTGTAAAACATTAGCATTATAGTGTAACTGATATGAAAAATTTATTATAAAAAATATATAGAATTATTTTCAAACCATAAAATTCCCTAATTCATTTGGTAATCTTTGTCCAAAGCCAACCCACATCTGTGAGCTTCTTGCCCAAAGTTGAAACTGAACAATCTTTCTATCATTAATGTATTGAAAAGATGCAGCAGCTATGCAATTTGTTGAACAACTGTCTGGTTGAAGAAAACAGTTATAATGAATTCCACATTTTTTAGGATCAAACTAGAAAAAAGAGTAAATAAAAAAATTCACTGTCTATTATACCAAATATTTTTACATGAACTTATTAATTAATTGAACTTAAATTTAATTAAAATTTAGATATGAAATGTTAATTTATTTGCCAATATTATAGTTAAATATATACATAAATATTTATTAAGATTTTGTTGATATATATTATTATTCATTTTATACTTTCTCTTTTCTTTCTTCATACTTCATTCTTTACACTTAGTTTTATTAAATAATTCGTTATTTGTTATTTATTATAAGTATTTATACTTGGTGTTTTCAGTGTATATAACTGTTATTTTGTTGTGTATAAAAAAATATGAAAACGAAAACATTTTAAGAAATTTTTTTTAACAAGTACCAAATTGTTAATTTAGGAAAACATCAAATTGTTTATTTAAAAATCAATGCCATAGTGGTGAAGTGGTTGAGTGCTCTCTTTGTAAGCAAGAAATTTCAAGTTAATCCTCACCATGTCCCTGGTAGAACTACTATTAACTTGATTCTCTGCGCAATGGCCTTGTTCAACAAGGTGTTTTGGAGACTAAAGTTTGAGAAGAGGTTGTAACAACATTTAAAAAAAGGGACTGTTGTGGCCTCCTTGACCATGGGGAGGTAAACACAGTAAAAATAAAAAATAAAAAAATTTAGGAAAACATGAAAATAAATTTATTATGTAAATGATAAATAACTTTTAATATGCATTTGATTTTGTTTAGAAGGCTTTTATTACCATTATTAATAATATTTGTAAATTTTGTATAAAAGAATAGTGAAAAAAAATCTTAACAAATCAACTTACTTCATTCATAACATTTGTTGATACTGGTGCCACAGCTTGAGTTGTCACTAGTTCTTTAACTACAGCGCTGGTTGTAAAAGGCGTATTTGAATTTTCAGTATTCAGTATTTGGTATGTTTTTATAAAATCTATAGCTGTTTCTGATTTAGAGTAAGAACTATGGTAACCAGGTTTCTCTAAATAAATAAACATTTACAAATATATTAATATTTTATTCTATCTTTACATATATACAAATATATATATATATATATATATACATATATATATTTATACATATATATATATACATATGTATATGTATATATATATATATATATATATATATATATATATATATATATATATATATATATATATATGTATATATATATATATATATATATATATATATATATATATATATATATATATATATATATATATATATATATATATATATATATATATATATATATATATATATATATATATATATATATATATATATATATATATATATATATATATAGGCCTTGTGATGAGGCGAGAGCAATGGCTCGGCACACATGAAACTTTTTGTTTTTTTGTGTTTGAAAGGAAATGACCTTTCAAACACAAAAAATAGCGCTCGCTAGTTTTGTTTCAAGAGTAAAAAATCGCGCTTGTCTCAAGGACTTGCGAGTAGGGATGGCAAAAATCCCAGAAATTTTCAATTCCGGGATTTCGGGATTGAGAAATTTGTCCCCAGGATATCCCAGGATTTAATAGAAAAAAACTTTTCAAGTACTCATCAAACACTTAAAAAAGATTTTTTTAATAATAGTATAACTAAAATATTTAATACATTAATGAACCTAAAATTAAGTTAAAAACATGTTTATTAAATTAAAAACATGTTAATTTTGTTATATTAAAAGTTATCTACAACTTTTAAAAATTAATGAACCTAAGTACTTTAAACTATAAAACCATACTTTGTTACCATATAAAATGGTAACACAGTATAAATTAAAATAACAATTAAAAAAATAATATAAATATGCAAGATTTCATTCATTAAATGGATAATAAGAAAACTTTGTAATTTAATAAACCTATTTTTTGGTAACTTTATTAAATTGACGTTAAAAAAACTTTCGTCAGTCACTCAAATATTTGAAATTAAAATTAATGGAAATAAAAATGGAATTTGAATCATGCACACTTTTGGATGCAGAAAATTCAATATTAAATTAAGGTACTAGTTTTAATATTATACTATATATATAATTATATATATATATATATATATATATATATATATATATATATATATATATATATATATATATATATATATATATATATATATATATATATATATATATATATATATATATATATATATATATATATATATATAGTATAATATAATATTATATTTTATATGTTTGATCGTACATGTTTTGCAGTCAAGCCAAAACGTTTTGAGTTTTTATTTTGAATAAAATAGAGAGTTTTAAAAGGTAAACATTGCAAATAGAATAAATAGTTACACAATCAAACAGCTACTATTCCAAAGACAATGTACAAATTACTTAATTGCAATTATATGCTTAAACTTTAATAAATTTTACTTATTTTGACAATCCAGAAATCCAGGGAAATTTTGGAGACTAACCCCGGGATTTCGGGATGATCAATTTGTACAAAATCCCGGGATTTCAGGATTGCCATTCCTACTTGCGAGGGAGAAAATTGGATGGTTAAGCGCAAAATCTGTCTAAACAACAAAGTTGAAAAAAATGAGTTTATGTTAAAAAAAGATTTATGTAGTGTCTTTTTGCAAACACCAATATACCACGATTAAAATTTTTAAGTGCACTTAACTGCAAATACTTTTAATTATTTCAGTTTAGTAGCTTCTGTTAAAGACTTTTAAACTTTGCGTCTAATTATCTTGTTTCAACATTTTTGTTGTATAAGCAGATTTGGCGCTTAACCATCCAATAATAAGTTGATTTTATAGAAAATAATTTTATTAAATTTTTTTTCCTGAAGTCAAAATATATTTAACCAGTAGAGTTTGCATATTGTTAAATAAAGAAAATATAATTGTAACTAAATATGTCACGCACGCATGCCTACTGCGTTACATACTTCAATTTTAATTTATTTGTGGCATTAGTTCAAATTAAAAATGATAATATGATAAACTTTAACTGAAATCTTTTAATTCCAGTTAAAGTTTATCCTATTATCCGCCTAATCTTACCCTGGTTAAGTCTAACCATTCGCTAATTCTTATTGTTTTTTAGGGAACATTTGACAAGAAACTTTGCTTAACTAGAACTTTTACTTTGAATTGCATAAAAGTCCATGTAATAAAATATTAACACTTGCAACATTTTAATGAAAATTCCAAACTTAAATGGTAAAAAATTAAACATCAAGAATAATGTTTATAATTATCAAGCGTAATATTTATAAATATCTTATATCTAGCGTAAAAAATTTATCAAACTAAAACTCACTTATAGCTTCAATTTTGTACAGGTTCCATCACATTCTATTAATTAATGACTATTATATTTAAAATTCAAAAGCATCAAAACGTTGGAATATCAAATGTTTTTTGTCAATTGTAAGTTAATAAACGAAATATCTTTACTGGTATTTTGGAATTGGTTATTAATATAAGCTTATATTAAAGTCTATTTATTAAAAAAGTTAAAGCTAAACGCAACTAAAAAGTAATTAAAAAAAAAGTTTCAATAAACAAAACATATAACAAATATATTTGCTATATAACTTTGAATTGAAACATTTAGAAGCGTGCTAACAAACAACAAAAGAAAAAATGTAACGCCAACAAGTTTCAAAATTGCATTTCTCAAAATATACATCAGTACAGAAGTTATTTATATATTATATTTGTATAAGTATATATATACTTACACTAATATATATGATATTAGTATAAGTCTATTATATACTTATTAAGTGTATAATCAAATATATAAAATATTATTTACTTGATAATAATTAAATAGCCCATTCAGTTTAAATTAGAAAGTAGTTTTCTGTTTTGTACAAATAATGAATGAAAAGTTATTAAGTCATTACTGCTAACAGATAGAATGGAATGTTTACTATTTTCAAAACATTTCATCCCAATGAGAATAGAAAACCTTAACTAATATTAACTTGATTGAATTTTAAAAAATCAAAAGTTTTAATCACATGATTTTGTAAAAACGTAAAATTCTTTTGTTTTATTGTTTTTAATTTTTCACACATCTTTTGTAAATAAAAGAAATATGCTTAATCTTTTTATTTTTAACTATTATTTATTTTAAATTAAACTAAAAACGTTTTCGTTGTTTAGAATGTCCACAATCAAGCATGTTAATTCAACTCCAATAGGAAACAAAGTTATATTGTCAACTTTTAGTAAATGTCGATATTTCATTGTTTTTATTCAATATCAAAACTGCAGTAACATATTTTTTTGGGTAGATAGACAAATGCATTAACTAAAAAACCCAAGCTTTTTTGTCTGATTTTCTCGACTTCACATGAAAAAAGTTCAAAGAAAAAATCATCCACGCTTTTCCTTGTATGCACTGGTATGCTTTTGAGTGACCCCCTCTCCATACTTGCGCACATAATTTATGGATGGCTCCATGGCAACCAATTTCCAACTCTGAATATCTCTCTCCAAGACTTAATGCTAAGCATGCATAATTGCGCACATTAATAATGTTTCAGTTTTACGAGCACGAAATATCGCGCTGGGCAATTTAATTCATCATATGCACTGTATATATATATATATATATATATATATATATATATATATATATATATATATATATATATATATATATATATATATATATTTGTGGGTGTGTGTATTTATGCTTACATATTCAAAAAAGCAACAACAACAAAAAAAAAAAATAGCACGCACATCAAATTTTTTTTCCTTAGCATCAAATGGTTTGGAATTGATTGTTGATTTGGATTGGTTTATGTGTAAATGTTTACTACAAGTAAAAATAGAGGAAATCTCAGTTTAATAGAATAAATGTCACTTTTGAGCTCACGAGTCACAAGCATAAATGGAAACTTGTCATCTTTGTCATTATTTATGACAACTGTAACAATGATTATGACTTAGTGTAATAGTCATTACTAGCAGTAAGCAACCCTTAATACAGGTTGTTAGTAAATTAAATTAAAAAAAAAACCGCGTATAGAAAAGTCTAGAAACTACTTTAAAATAGAAAAGCCTAAAAAATGACGTAAGTCGACTATTACTACTATTAAATTAGTGTATTAATATTATCAGATTCATAATATATATCATAATATAACAGCATGAGCATTAAAAACCTGTTGTTGTTTTTTTTGAAGTTTTTCTCATTAAATATTCTTTTTTTTCCCAAATACTTTACTGGGTAAAACCGACCCCAAAATGTTTAGAAATTTTGAGTTTTTTTATTTCAAATGTAACTTTTGTGGATGTTTCAAGTGATTTAAACTCACTGACACAGAAATATTAGGAACTTGACAAAAATACGAACGGTATTAGCAACATTTATTCATGTGAAAAAAATAAAAAAAAAACATGGTAAAAGTGTAGGAATATTATAATTTTTATTTATAGGTAAAGAAACCTAAGAATGCAGTGGGACCTCAGAAGATCAGGTTTTAAATTAAGCAACAAAATAAAAACAATTTTTTTTGTTAAAAACTGAAAGCCATGTATAAAAATAAAGAATGTATAAAAAATAAGAAAAGTCATAAACAAAAAAAAAAAAATTATCCTTAGAAAACATTCTAAATTAAAAAGACGTTGAAGAAAGTCTACAAGCCATTTTAAAAGTTTTTTTGAACAACTAAAAATTTTTTGAGTCCTAAAAATAAGCTTGCAAAATGTTTTCAGAAACATTTTGAAAACTTTAAGACATAGCATTTTGTGGTGCTTCACCCAGCATTTTGAGGTACTGATTCAAATAACTATATAACAAACTTCATTGATTTCTTTTAAAAATTGAAAATGAAATTTAACATTAACAAACTGAAAAAAACATATGATGAGCAAAAAATATGAAAAATAAGATCTATATAAACTATTATCCAAAATCAGCAAAAACAGAATGATACTTTGTATTATGGAAGGAATCAGAGATAAAAAAGAAGTCTTTAACATTATCTTCTTCAGACTCAAACTGATGGTATTTTTTGGTTCCTCTTTTAAAAAAATGGTTAGATTGTAACTAACTTTGAACCTGTTTCACTTCAACATAATTAAAATTTTTTGAAAATCTATGTGCAGCTTTAATGTGCATAGGGTTTAAAACCTTATAGCAACAAATGTATTCTTGAAACTTAGTTGCAGCACAAACATTCTAGACACATGTACATTCTTCCTTACATTTATAGAATGTCTCAATTTGTTGTTGTTGCTTCCATTTCCTTTCTTTATTAGCTTGCTTCTTATTGTCTTTATCTTCCTTGATTGATAAAACTGCTTATAATATTTTTTCCCCCTCTATTAAGTCTTGAACCTGGGTAACACAAATATTTGCCTTAATGACTTTAGGAGTTACTTTGGTTTCAGGCAACAAATTAGGTATTTCTTCAAGTGATATTGATTTATTAGATATTGTTTGATAGCTTCCATGGCACTTTCATAGTTATAGTTCCAATAACCTGCTGAGCCATACAACATAATTGGAGATAAAATTGTTAGTGCTGTTGATGATTGATTATTTTTAGTATTTTCATCAATACGTAGCTCGGCTTGTAAGTAATTATCTTCCTGCATCCACTCAACACTGAGTCCTTCACCCTTCACTTGAAATCACAATTTTTTACTTGCATTTATAATTGTTTGTTTTGATGTTTGTTTCGAACAGAATAAACAAAGAAATGCAGATTAAGCACTTCTGTACTCAGAGCAATTTCTGATTAATTTGACACCAGTTGTGTCAGATAAAGTGATAAAAAGTCAAATATTTTTGCTTCTTTGAAATTTCAATACATCACAGTCAAATTTTGAAAAATAACCATCAAACAGGACAACAGCAGGTCGTTATATATTTTTTTTCGAAATAATAGTCAAATATTTGATATGCACATAAAAGTGTACTGTGATCTTGGCTGCCACTGTCATTTGTGGAGATTAGGAAATTTAGAATTTGTTTAACTGCTTCTTTTGGAGTCATGAGGGCACTGATCCCCCTTTCCTTAAATATATGGCACATCGCTTTATCTCCTCCAAAAAAACAAAAGGACGTATAGGTTTGCATTCCTTATTTCCTCTTATCATCTTTTGATAACTTTCTCCTCTCCCAGCATAAACTAAATCACTTGCAGTACCATCAACTCCATAGTTTACAAACTGGAGAGGTTTTACCATTATTTTTAAGTCTAGTGGATTAACTCCCTGCCATACACCTGCTTCTACTTTATTTGAATCAATGAAAATATTACTTTTTATAAGTTCTTCAACTAACACATTTAGATTGTTACACACCATTTCATTTGTGCACAATATATAGATACAGTTCCCTGTTTCATTTAGTGATGTACTTTTGATATTTCGCACCCCAATGATTTGAAAACAAGTTGTTTGTTTGGAGTGCTTGTTGAGCATTTAGTGATCTGACATTTATTGTACATTATAACTGATTCAAATATATTTATACTTTAGCTTCTAAAGAAAGTTGTTTATGAATTTATTTTAGTTTTTATAGCATTATAAATTATGATTTTTATATTTTGATCTTATTTTATTTTGGTTGCCATTATTTCCACTGCTTCTATAAGATGCTTCATTAACATCCTTTAAAATTCAGATTTCTTGGTTCAAATTATTGCCCTTGGTTTCAACAGGCTTGGTTTCTTACTCCCAAACATTCAACATTGTTTTTGTCAACTCTGACTTGTTTAAATTTTGGAGGCATCTAAATAAACTATTGAAATTACAATACCTAAAAACTATACACTACAAGTTTAGTTTTCTTAATGCAATAATAATAAAAAACAAAAATTTTATTTCTTTTAACTTGAACAGTTTATAAAAAAATAGTTTTATTTCTTAATCACGTGTATTACCTATTCTTGCTTTTAATATAAAAGTCTAGTAACTTTTCTTCATCGTTGGTAAAAACTGAACAATATAATATCTTCTCTCAATGACACCAAAGAGTTTGTTAATTGTTTTTTGATTTTTAACTAGTGGAGGTTTGATATTAAGAGAGGTTTGATAGCAGAACTATACAGAAGTATACTATAGATAAAATTATCATTTAATAATGTTGAGAAGATTTTGAATAAAAAAATAACTTTTAATTTTTTTATAAGTTAAGTTTTGTTCACCTAGCATTCTGAGATTCCTTAACCTAGTTTTATAGCTGAATATAAAAAGTAAAAAGGATAAGTGAATCAAACATTAAAAAATATAATCAGCATGCTTTTATGCAGAAATTTATGATTTTCTAACCAAAATTAAAAGTATTACAACTTATTATTTAACCTAATATTCTGAGATCCCTATTGAAAAAAGTATATCCAAAATATTTTTTTAAAGACATGAAAATCCCCAAAAAATTTAACCTTTTTGGCATTTTAACAGAAGTATTATATCAACTATAAAAAGTTGACATAATACCTAGCATTCTGAGGTCCTTTTATTTGAAAAAGGACCACAGAATGCTAGGTGCTAATGCTTTAAAATTGGCTGGGTAAGTTGTCTATAATCTTATGCTTATGGGTTAGAACTAACTTTAACCACCTCTCCTTTTTTGTAGCTTTTTAACTTAAAAAAAAAGTACAACAAAGCTTTACCTTTCAATGACGGTCCGGATGCAATTGCTACTGAAAGAGGTAAACTCATGTCATATAAATTAGCTATATTTGAAATGGATCTTTCAAACCTTAAAACAAACAACAAAAACTTTTTATTTTATTAAACTTTTTTTTTTAAGTAAAATAAAAAAATAATTTTTATATGTATACAATTTAAATTACAGTTAGTAAAAAATTTAACGCATAAAAGTTAAAATCGCATTTTAAATTTTAGGAATTCAATACAAATACATAAAAAATTAAAATACTATGTAATGTAATTGTGTTTGCATTACATTGGATTTTATATATATTAATTATTTATGAAAATTATTTAGATCATTGCATGTTATAACAAATGTGTATTGAATGCAAATAATAAACTAATAATTTTCGCTACACTTTTTCCTTAATTAATTGCTTTAAATTAAAAAATAAAACAAAACCAAAAAAGTTTCATGGCTATTTGTTATTTGTTACTACAATTTAAAGACATAGATACTAATTAAAATAACTTTAAAAACTATACATTTGCATCAGTTATGAATAAAGAATAAAACTCTATGTCTATCTTTACTCACTTGCATAATATAGAATCATCTGGTTTTGTTTCTGCTGATAACAAAGTCACTCCATTTATCTAATTTTAAAATTTTTCAAAAGTATATAAAATTTATAGATTATCATAAAACTAAAATATTTTTATTTTTAAAAAAACCAGTCACCTCGCTAATCCATTGTGGTTCACCAGGAGTGGCTGGTGCCAATTTGTTTCCATTAAAACTTCCAAATACAGGAATATTTCCTGATGAACCTCGGCAATACTGACCTTGCAGTTTGTACTAAAAAAAATACTACAATTAAAATATTTTATTAATCATTAAAGCTGTCAAACATGTTTATTGGTCTTTTTTTGGGTAGTTGTCTGACTAACTTATTATTGTTTAACCAATTAATTTATGGAAATGTTTATGATAACAAAGCTTACATATGCAACTAATATTATAAAAGATCTGACATTGACAATGTAAACTATAAAGGAATATAAACAATAAACTTGAAGAGTTCTATGGATGTAGATTAAATCTTTGATGCAGATATTTTCTAAAAACAAAAAACTATTTTGTATTATCTTTATATTATGTGTCGCTAAACTATTGTCACATGATTTGACCATCGTGCAGTTGAATGGCATTATGAAGGTGAAGTTTATACACTCCCAATTTTGGATATATGATACATTTTTAATTATTTAAAAAAAGATATTTCTTAAAATTTTGTTGTTTAATTGTAATTAAAATCTGTTAAATAAAAATTTCTTCAGTTATTTGTTTTTATTCTTTCCTCCATTAGTAACAGAATTTTCGTTTTTTCTGTGTTTTTATTTTTTTTCTGTTAATATGGCAAACACATTTTTTCATAACTGTTCACAGAACAAAGAAATATTTCTGTAAGTTGATCATTCAAGCATTCTAGGAAAAAGAACTTATATTTTAGTGCTGGTAATGGCAGAAATTCCTTGTTATTTATAAAAACAAGTATTTCAAGTTTAAGTTCCAGTTGAAATTTAAGCAAATTTTTCTAAAGAACCAGCAGCAGGTATACTTCCTTAAATTATCACAAAACTTTACTAATGGCCACAGTATGAACTTGTTTTTCTTCTTTTCTATTTGTTTCATTTTTTCTCTAACTGAAAGACATCGTGATTTTCTGACATGTATCAGGAAAAGTCATCATGGCAATAAGATTGTTTTGGTTGGTCAATTACTTCATTTGTGATGTGTTCTCCTTATAAAAATTCACTTGATTTTAAACCCATTGTTTTCCTATATATAAGATTTTTTTTACTTCATTATTATAAATCATTATTATTTGTTAAATATTAGCCTTTTCCATTTCTTTATTAATAATAAAAAATAATTAATTTCTTAGTAATTATTTAAAAATTTTTGTTTTTTAAACACGTCTACCAATACATGGTCATACTACCTATACATTCATCAACATTTATCATTATGATACAAACTATGTTAGGCAAAAAAGCAAAAAGATGATGAACATAAACTGTAATTTTGTTCCATTAGTTTGCACTAGTAATATGTCACAGCGGTTTCTAAAAGCATGCTGAAGTAATTTCAGGTCAGGTTATAATTATTATAATTACCCTGCTACTGGTAACATGGAATCCAGTACACCTTGCCCTATGTCTTGCAGCCTTGTATGATTTGGTTTTTAAGGCAAAAGCTAATAGAAATTAACTCTGATTTAAATTAACCCTCGATTTCGAAATTTTGGTTGAATAAAAACTAAAGATAGATGACTCAACATAAATATTTATCTTGGGAGATGTTAACTGCATCTGGCTACTGCTGTGTAGAAGGCCTCTTAGACAAAGACTTTAGAGGTAAGTAGAAAATTTCTGTTGACCAGCCTACAACCTTTTCATCATCAAATAGGCTGGCATAAATGTAAACATTTGTTACATTGTTTCTTGTCTATAATAATGAACTTTTTTAACCAGATGTTTGTTGAGTACAGAATGTTGAGAAAAACAATACCAGGCAAGAATTATGTTACCAATAAAGGTTTAGGTAAAATACTGATACCAAACGATTGCCACACAATTAATTAAAGTTGCAACACCATATAAACATTAAATGATAAATATGACTCCATATGATACCACACGATACTTGAGCATTTTAATTACACTATATGAGGCAATTGTAAAGCTCTCAGTTATTATTTCAATTTACTATATCAAATTACGAACATTTTTTAAAAATAAAATAAATACTTAAGTCTTGATAAAACATTATCTTTTTAACTGAGTTATTTACTGCTAACAATTCTCAAACAAAACTCAGTTATTTACTGCTAAAAAAAACTCAGTTATTTACTGCTAAAAAAAACTCAGTTATCAAATATAATTGCTAACAATTATTTCAATATTTATGGTTTTCCTATAATGATAATAACGCCCTTACTAAGTCACTACCTTATTACTTTACATTTTCTTTCATTTGCTATTGATCTTTGATGGAAACCATATACTAGCAGTGCTAAAATTTTTCATGAGAGTATAAATGATTTCCATTACAGATCATAAGTAAACTGCTAAAGGTAAACTGCTAAAAGTCACTACCTTTCTTTATCAAGCTGCCATTTTTTTACTTCTGATTCCATTCTTTTATTATATAAATCTCTTATTCATCCTTGTATAGAATACTGTTGTCATATTTGGGCTGATTCTTCTGAGGACCTTTCTGTTTTAGACAAGGTCCAAAAATGTAGCGTTGTTGAATCTACTTTAGCTACTAAATTTGAGCCTCTATTACATTGCCATAAGGTTGTATCTCCTTTTTTCTTTTCTACATACAACCATGGTCTCTGCTCCAGTGAGCTATAATCACTTAGTCCATGAAATTAAAAATTCATTCACACTGTGGTCACACTGGGTCCAGAAAAATTTAATGAAATCATCTTTACATTATATGACATTTTTATATCTTTTTTTCAATTCTAAATCAGGATCAAAGTTGGAAAAGCAGGGGCCCCAATCCAAGATAAGAAAATAAGACCCTATTGGGTTTAACTATAAATATAAGTAAAATAGGTATCTTATGGAAAAACGGATATTCTCAAATCAAAAAAAATTATAAAATTTGGACTAAAATAGTGCACATTAAGGTAATTTTATTGACTTTATTTAAAAATCAAATATTTTTTGTTTATGTTTACTCAAATTAATAAAATAAAATGTTTTAAAATTACTTTTACTCAAAAATTAAGTACAAACACAAACAAAATAGCTTTAAAAATTTAAACATAAAAGTACAAGTTGGTATTATTAAAAGCAGGTACTATTAATTATTTCAAATTCAAAGTATTTTTCAAATAAACCAAAAACTCAAAACATAACTAAAGCAAAACCCAGATTTTTATTCTTAATTGTTAAGTTAGGCAGTTAGGCCAGACCAGTTCAATGTTCCTGGCTCATTAAACTTCTCAAATAACATTTTATCAATTCAAAAAAGAACTCTCAACTCTTACAAATTGAAAATGGAACAATTACATGAAATATATCTAAAAATAACTACTTATCAGTGCACTTAATTCTATTAAAGGCAATTTTGTAGAATATTTTTAATTATCTAATCTATATTTAAATAATTAAGCAACCAATCAAAAATTAAATAAAACCAAAATTTATGTCTAAATGTAAAACATATTTTAACTCTCAAAAAAACTTTATGTATGTAATGTACAAATTTAAATTAAACACAAATAATTCTCTTAACAATAATTTAAATGTTTTTGATAAAACTAAAAACATTTTTTTTTGTATACATTTATTTTTATTGTTTTATATATTACTTTACTATTTTTATAAATACACTTTTTTATTTATATATTTATAATTTTAAATATTATCTAAATTAACTTTTAAAAAAATTATAACATTATTAAAACTATCATAATACAATTATAGCATTTTTCAAAATTTAAAACACCCAAAATGAATGCAACAAATTGACATTTACAATTTATAATAAATGGTAACTGTAAAACATTTGTCATAAATCATAAACATTTATATTAACATTTACTGTAAAATATTAGCATGATAGTGTAACTGATATGAAAAATTTTATAAAAAACATAAAGAATTATTTTCAAACCATAAAATTCCCTAATTCATTTGGTAATCTTTGTCCAAAGCCAACCCACATCTGTGAACTTCTTGCCCAAAGTTGAAACTGAACAATCTTTCTATCATTAATGTATTGAAAAGATGCAGCAGCTATGCAATTTGTTGAACAACTGTCTGGTTGAAGAAAACAGTTATAATGAATTCCACATTTTTTAGGATCAAACTAGAAAAAAGGGAAATAAAAAAATGCACTGCCTATTATACCAAAATTTTTTACATAAACTTATCGATTAATTGAACTTAAATTTAATTAATATTTAGATTTATAATAAAATATCAATTTATTTGCCAAACTTATAGTTAAATATATACATAAATATTTATTAAGATTATGTTGATATATATTATTATTCATTTTATACTTTTCTTTATATTTAGTTTTGTTAAATAATTCGTTATTTGTTATTTATAAGTATTTATTTTTTTACTTTTTTTATACTGGATGTTTTTAGTGTACTTAACTGGTATTTTATTGTGTTTTGTTAAATAAATAGTAAGATATATAAAAATATGAAAACAAAAACATTTTAAAAAGAAAACTTTTTTATTAAGTACCAAATTTATAATTTAGAAAAACATCACATTGTTTATTTAAAATACAATGCCATCGTGGTGAAGTGGTTGAGTGCTCTCTTTGTAAGATGTTTTGAGATTAAAGTTTGAGAAAAAGTTGTAACAACATTCAAAAAATAAGGGACTGTAGTGGCCTCCTTGACTTTGGGGTGATAAACTCAGCAAAAAAAAAAAAAAAAATGAAAATAAATTCATTATGTAAATCATAAATAACTTTTAACATGCATTTGATTTTGTTTAGAATGCTTTTATTACCATTATTACTAATACTTGTAAACTTTGCATAAAGAAATAGTAAATAAAAATCTTAACAAACCAACTTACCTCATTCATAACTTTTGTTGCTACTGGTCCCACAGTTTGTAGTGTCACTAGTTCTTTTACTACAGTGCTGGTTGTAAAAGGTATATTTGCATTTTCAGTATTCGGTATTTGGTATGGTGTTGTGTTTAACATGGTTGTAGATGGTTGTTTAATTATAGAGTTAGTTGTTGAAATGAAATTCATTGGTGTTTGAGACTTTGTATATTTGTTAAAGTGGTATAAAGGAACCCCATATTCTAAATAAATAAAAAAATTGAAAAATATTTCATTTTTGTCAAATGTTTATTCTAAGCATTTTTATAAACAAACTTACTGTTAACTCTACCAAAAGCTATTGCTGTTAATAATGAATCTGTAAGATCATACAAGTATTCGCTTGCACCACTTTGAAGAGGTCTTTCAATTCTAAACATAGCAAACACCCTGCATTTAGTATGTCAATGATAATTTGTATATATGTGTGTATATATATATATATATATATATATATATATATATATACATATATATATATATATATATATATATATATATATATATATATATATATATATATATATATATATATATATATATATATATATATATATATATATATATATATATAATTTCTTAATTTGGTCTTCAAAATAAGAAATGTATAAAAGTATATATATATATATATATATATATATATATATATATATATATATATTTTCGAAAAAGAAGAAGAAAAAAACGAAGAATGATAAATAAAACGTTTGCTTCCCCATCTCAAACCCTCAGTCGATGTAGCAGCACTCCACTGCGAGTCAGGCTATTTGTCAGTCGTTGTATGTACTGAAGCCCCCAGCAGCCGGCTATTTCAGTATGACGTCAGATTGCTTACTAAAGTACGCAATACTATTTGTATATATATATATATATATATATATATATATATATATATATATATATATATATATATATATATATATGTGTGTGTGTGTGTGTGTGTGTGTGTACAATTTAATGTATTTGAAAAAATATTTGCATGAAATGTTTTTTGTTGTGATTGTTCTTTGGCTAATATCTTTCATTCCTTAGTAAAAAATTTCACATCTCCTAGATTCAGGCAGACATGTTAATATATGATTTTGTTTGCAGTAAATATTAATCTTGTAATTTTGAAATGAGCAGTCAAATTTCGTCATTAATTGTTTTAATCTATATTCTTAAAAAAGATCATTAGAAGCTTAGGTTACATGATAATGGATAAAAATAAGAAGGTTACACAGGTTATATTATATATTAGTTTTTTTTACAGATAAACACTTTTTTTTTTGCTGACACAACCTTTTATGCCATGCATTATTCTGCAATACTCATTGCCATTAAACTCTAGTTGTTTCATTTAACAATTTAGTAAACTTTTTTTTAAGTATTTAATTTAGTTTTTTTTTTTTTTAAATACTTGCCTAGATTGCAATACTTCAGTATGGGAAAAATCGAAAAAATATATATTTAATTTAAATTAATTAGTTTATTATTAAAAGCAGACAAAACATACCTGTAAAAATTAAATAGATTCTAAATGTATAATTTCCTTATTTTTGGATAAGTATATTGAATAAGTATACCTATCGATTTTATGATTTTTTTTTTTTAATTACAACATTATTTAATAATTTTTTTTCATGATAATTATGATAAACATGATAATTAATTTGAATCAAGTGCTCAGAATAAATTATTCATCAAGTTCTTGCAAAATTTAAAAAGAAAAATAATTTATGGCTGATTTATATTGATTTATATTTCATGAGCATGTCAAATTTGCTGAGTTGGAATGGAAATTCAGAAAATTTCAAATATTATTAAATCTTTTTAAATAATTAGCAATGTTTTTTTGTATTTTATGATAACAGATGCTACAAATAAAAAATACTAAAGTTTTATTGATTGCACATGATTAGTTTTTTAAAAATGGCATTAGCATATTTTCTTTTACAGAATACACAAACAACAGGCAAATAAAATTATAACTGAAATATGCAATGTAGCTGATTCTCCAACTTGCAATAAATTTGATATGCAACTATTTGCAACTATTGATTACCTAGCAGCTACATATTAAGTTTAGTAGGAGACCACATGAGCAGTAGTACTGAACTCAATTTTTTTGTTCATGCAGCAGCTTTGTTCATAAAGATAAGAATTTCAGAGATGTTAAAAAAGGCAATTGCAAAATTAAAAAATGCCTTCTTAACTGTAGTGGGAATTATTCCTTATCCTTGGAACGATAAAAAAACAATGTAATTGATAACCAAAAAGTATATAACCTTTATTTCATTATTTCAAAAAATCCTTAAAAATAACACCCTAAATTACTTATTTACTCTTTAGTAGAGTTCATCAAAACTACAATGTACTTACAATCAAAGAATTTACTGACAATCAATCTACAACTATTTAAATTCAAGCAATTATATTTTAATCAGGGACTACAATATAAACAAAAAGCACTAAATAAACTTTGTGACTTTGCTTGTCAAAACCATAAAACACTTGTATAATTGGTTTAAATAAATATTTTTTCTTCAAAAGTATTTACAAATTATATACCTACATTTTATATGGATATGTGCCACATAAAGGCTGGTCAACAATTAATGGTTTCACTTTTATTTCTATTTTAAACTAAAAAGAATTATAGCCTGTCATTGTTCGCTCAAAAATGTTGCCTCAAATGGGTAAATAGAAAATTTACTTTCTTTATCTATTTGTATAAGGTAAAGAAAATTTTTACCCATTTTATCTATTAAAGGCAATAAAAGTGTTCAACTGACTCATTTCATTTATACTTTCATTTTATTTAACATATTTTGTTTTCTTTATAAGTTACTTGTTATAAATAAATTATTGTTGCCAAACAGATAATAATAATTTTTTTAACAAAATTTGACAAAAAAACTATTTTGGGAACAAAATTTTTTAAAAATATTTTTTTAGCCTTAAAAAAAATTATAATAAAAACATAAAATCTTTACTTGCACATCATTGAACCATCAGAATCAATACTTGACTCGATCAAATTAACATCCTTTACTTTTCCATCAGACTAAATAAAAGTTATATAATGTACTAAAATTTCCGGATTTATAATTTAAATAATAAAAAGGTATTTTACCATTTTATTATTTTATACAAATAAAACATTCTTAAAAAGATGAGTCACTTGAAACAAAAACTAGAAATCAAAAAAATTGGAGAGCTCCCTTTTAAAAAATAATCAGTAAAAAGCGTAAACCTACTCATATTTCACAAGCAAGAAATGTCACAAAAATATTAACAAGGTGTAATAACTTACAACTCTTGAGTTATAACTTAAAAAAGTAGATGTGTAAAGCTCAATATTAAGTTCACACAAGCTAATTCTACTTAAAGGAGTCACCAATGCAACTTTAAGCTGTAAAACTTTAAACTTTAAACTTTAATTCTACTGCAAGGACTATTCTACTGCAACTTTAAGCGCTTTTGCGCTTAAAGCGATTTATAGGTATAGAGGTATAAATACGAGGCAATAGCTGAAAAATACTCACAAAACAAATGCCAGTTTTTAAGAATTAAAAACTATACATAAAGATGGAAAAATTTTTTCACATGTCATCGCTACTAAAAAGTGAAAGAAAAATATTGCAATTGCTAAATTCCTGAGCATTGATGTTCTAGTTTCCAAATTCTTTGTATTTTTTTAGTCTTGGAAAAGAGTAGAAAGCTCTGGATTTAGCTTTTCTTTTTAGATACAAACCAATTTCATTTACAAATAGTTCCCGTGGTTATTGAGGTTAGTAAAACTTCATAACAAGTTTTAAACAACCTAATATCTGCCGCTACAACAAATTTTACTTCTGAAAAATCAAAATTCTTAAATACCATTTTAATATTGGAATATAATTCCTATCCATCTGGTACATTTTATTTAATCAACTTTATTATAAGTTTAAAATTTTTGAAATCCTCATCCCTCCTAAAATTAAGATTAATATACTAACCTCAACTGCTGAGTTTAAAGTTTAGATTTCCACTTTAGCCCAAATGACATTTGATACTTATGTCTTTTACAAAGATTTGAACTTTTTTTTGTTTATTTTACCCCAAGAGTCATTGTTAAAGATTTATCTTTGTTAGTATAATGTTTAAAGGTTCAACTTTTATTAGTTCAGAATGTCACTTCTAACTTCTAATTAATTCTGTAATTTAGCTGTTTACTTTAAGTTTCTTCTAACTGTTTTGATCTTTAATGTTTTTTTAATAACTTATCTCTAAAAATAAATAAGTTACAAATTTACTTTCTTCTAACTTGTGTTTTTAACTTTTACCTTGTTTAGAAGTACTTAATAGATAAAGTATCTATTTCTTTTTGTGCTATTGAGAATAAACGAAATTAAACTTGTTCCACATTTAATTTGTGGTAAATGTGGCTTGTTCCACATTTTATTTTACAAAAATTTAAAATAAAATGTGAAACATGCCACATCTTATTTTATCTTAAATTTCTGGATGGAACAATAATACTTTATTATATCTTTATTAGCATCTATTGTTGTGTTATATTTAAGGGTTTGGAGCCAGAACAATGTATGTAGACTTTTCAACATTTTGAGAAAAATCGATTTGAAATCTTCAATCAAACATCAAAAATCTAACTCGTCACAGAATTTTATGTTACATAATAACATTATGTCAAAAAACATGAAATTGTGTGATGTATTAGATTTTTGATGTATGATCAAAGATTTCTGGCTCCAAGACCTCGATATATCGAGGGCTTGGAGCCAAAACAAAGTATGTACACTTTTCAACATTTTGAGAAAAAGTGATTTGAACACTTAAATCATATAATCAATATGTACACTAATATTGATATTGCATTTAATTTTTGTATGTATGTACACTAATAGTACAGTTTATATTAGTCATTTATGTTAACAATAATCGTTTAAACTTTTTAAAACTAAATTTACTATTATTAATAGATATAAAATTTTTATGAAAAAATATTTTTGACGGTTTACACGATCCTCTTTTTAAACAGCTAAAATAACTATTTATTTGATGGCTGTCAATAACACTTTATGTTTGTTCTGTATGGAAAGTTTTTGAACATTTAATTTTTTAAACAATTTAGTAATTTAAAACTTAAAGCTTTTTACATCGAATTTCATATTTTAATATCTAGTAAATTTTGCATTTGTAAATTAAAAAAAATAATAATAACTTTTATAATTATAAAGTTTTTCTTTTAATTAAACTTTTGTGTTTGTAAATAAAACTTTAAAATTTATGTAAATTTATTTATATTATTTTATGTTTTACGTAAATATAACATAAATAATACATTTCATTGTATGCAAGATTCATCTTTGATTTTTTTTGTTGTGTTATTTTCAATGTACTTAACCAGCAAATGTAGATGAACCAAAAGTATTTTTAATTCCCTTAATAAAAAAAAAACCTTGTTTGTAATCAACTTAATTCAGTTCTTTATTGTACATACTAATTATGTTGTCTACAAGTCTAGTGTAACACCTTAGGGATACAACCATTAATAGTAAGTTGTTACTTTTTAAAGAAATGTAACTTTTGGGGTACCTAAAGGTTCTATCCTTAGTCCTGTTTTGTTTCTTATCTCTATCAATGATCTTTTAGACAACCTCATAAACAAAGTAGCTCATTTTGTTTATAATTCAACTTTATACTCCTGTCTTAACAAAAACTTTTTTCGATTGCTTAAAACAGGAAGTCGATCTTAAATCTAATCTCACTTCTGTAATAAATTGGGGCTCACAGTGACTTGTAAGTTTTAACTCCAATAAAACTCAGTTGTTTACTGAAAATAACTATCGCAATACTGTTGACATTCCTATATTAATAAATGGGAACCATCTCATCTCATTTTCTCTTCTAGACAAAGTCCAAAAATTCATTGTAAATGTAGGTCTCATTCGATTACTGAATCTGTGTCTGCATGCTCTAAAAACTTTTATTTGTCTAGCTTCTTTCTCAGCATTTTAACCTTTTAGAACTCTCTCCCATCTTCATGTTTTCCTGACTCATACAACCTACAACACTTTATATCTTCTGTCAACCATTTCCCTGCTTTACAACTTTATTCTTTTTTTTTTGTAGTAACTCCCAACTTAATATACATACATACATATATATATATATATATATATACATATATATATATATATATATATATATATATATATATATATATATATATATATATATATATATATATATATATATATATATATATATATATATATATATATATATATATATATATATATATAAACATATATATATATATACATATATATATATATATATATAAATATATATATATATATATATATATATATATATATATATATATATATATATATATATATATATATATATATATATATATATATATATATATATATATATACATATATATATTAATGAAGAAAAAACAACTTTTTCTATGGTACTTTAAGTTTCATGCCTATACGGCAATCATCAGCCATTTCAATGGCTGATGGTTGCTGTATCAAAGAAAGAAATAATCTTGAAAGATTTGAAGTCTGGTATTAAATTGGCATGGTATTATATACTAATATACTATAATCATTTAATGGTTTCTGTACTTTGCAAAGTTTAAAATACTTAAAATAATTCTTCTTCAGTAAAATAAACAATAGAAATAATTAAATCAATGCATTACTGTAAAAATATTATAAAGACTATTTCTTTTAGCAGTGTCTTTATAATGTTTAAAAAAATTCAGCAATTCACCAGACCAGCAGACAGCAGTCTATATAGATAAGTATCCAAACTGCATACTATGTATACATTTAATAACTTTATATTTCTTAAGTCCAACGGTTTATTTTACTATAATATATATATATATATATATATATATATATATATATATATATATATATATATATATATATATATATATATATATATATATATATATATATATATATATATATATATATATATATATATATATATATATATATATATATATGTTTATGTTTAGTTGCATGCAAGTTCCTGTATGTTTATTTGATTATTAATTTTATTAACTTTTTAAATTTTATTGAAAACACAGTTGTTGTTAAAAGTCTTATTTTTATAAAATTGATCGTACAAATAGTTTTAAAAGATTTACATTTAAAGAATAAAAAACTCATTTATATTTTTATTTATATAATAAAACTTACTTAACTTTATATAATTTAAAAAATAATTTTTTTTTATAAACGATCAATAAAAGTAAATCATTGCTTAGTTTTAAAGCGCATTGTTTGTATTAAAACATTTTATTACAAAAGAATATTAACAAACTTTATTGTGTTGGCATGTTAAAACGTTTCGGACATATACATAAATTTAAATGTTCTCAAAATATCTAAAAAGTTGTGATCAAGTTACTAATATTCATTTTCTACAAATATTTATTATTTAAAAAGTATTTATCATTTATAAAAATATTATATTTTTACAAAACATTGCAAATTAATTTAGCAACCTTTGATTTAAAAGAAAATTACTCACTTCTGAATACCATTCAGGACTTGAGGGATGATCTAACAAATTTCCATTAAAGCTACCTAACAAAATGCCATTTTTATAGTAGCAGTACTGACCTCGAATTTTAATCTATAAAAATAAATTAACAATAAATAAAACTAGGGTTGCCAGATGTCCGGCTTTTACGTAGAAGAATACAATAAAAAAAAGCTTGGCCCAGTATTTTCCTTCGCAAAAGCCGGATATCTGGAAACCGTAAGTAAAACTGAATATTTGTAAACAAGTTATGAAAAATATTATTAATTTTGTTTAACCATAGAAGGAAGCAGAGTTATAGCTGAAACCTAACTGATGAATATGTGCTGGAATATGTAGTGCATAATCAGAGTGTAGTGAACTCTTCTGGTGCTTGAAGCAAATCAAAATCTATGTCTTTTTGTCTATGTCTTTTTACAAATTAATATATACTATAAATAATATTCTAATATATGAATAAACAAATAAAAAATAAAATACCATATAGTTATCGTTATTGCTTGGTTTTTGGCCAAAAGCAATATATTGGTTTGGTGCTTTTACCCATAATTGTATGTAAATTTTTTCTTTTGCTGGATTATACTGAAATGCTGCGATTGCTTCGCAATCATCTGTACAAAAACTTGGATAAGTAAGACAGGTAAATTCATTTCTGCATTTGATAAGATCAAACTGTATTAAAAAATTTCATCATGTTATAATACAAATAATATAAAACATTAAATTATTATTATTACTAATACTATTGTTATCATCACCATATATATATATATATATATATATTAGGGTAAGTCATAAAAATTTTTTACATCCCGTATAGTGATACTATCAAATATGAGAATGATTGTGATAGATTTAAAGGGCGAAACTTTATTGGGAAAATTACCAGTTCCCTGATATTTTGGAGAAAAAACGTTTTTCAAAAGTAGGTCAACCTGGTACTCAAAAGAAGCCAAATTTTATAAAAAATTCAAAAATAATAATTGTTTTAAAAAAACCATATTGCCGAACAATAATGTTATTAAAAAACTTGTAAGAATGCACTCTTTTTATTTTTAGTTAAAAAATGAAAAGAGTGCATTTTTACAAGAAAGTTAATAATTTTTAAATTTTTATAAAATTTTGCTTTATTTGAGTACCAACATCACATAATTTTGAAAAACTTTTTTTTTGAATAATAATAGGGCCTGCTAATTTTTGTAATTAAAGTTGCAGGTGGATAATAATGATTGAACATTGTTCAAACCATAAAAGTAAATACTTTCCTAAATTAGTACATAAAAAACAACTTTCTAGACCATAGCCAGGTTAGCAACTCTAAATATATATATATATATATATATATATATATATATATATATATATATATATATATATATATATATATATATATATATATATATATATATATATATATATATATATATATATATATATATATATATATATATATATATATATATATATATATATATATATATATATATATATATATATATATATATATATATATATATATATACTTGCTAAATGAATAAAAAAAAATGTAAAAATAAATAAAAATTTTGAAATTAAATTTTATTAAAATAGACTAATGAATATTTTTAAGCAGTTTTAATAATAATTGATTTAAATTAGAAAATTAAAGAGCACAGATAATGGCCACAAAAATAAATTCCAGTACATTTTATATTCTATTATTATATCTTATATCCAATTAAATTATATCCTAATAAATGAATATTATCTTTTTATTACATTTTTTTTTTGTATTTATTGAATAATAGAATATTTTTTTTTTTTTTTTTTTATTTATTTGCATTCACTCCCAACAAGGCTGCAAGCAACCACTATCAAGTTGGGAGTTACTAGGAAAAAAAAAAGAACAGAGTTATAGAGCAAGGAAACGGTTGACAGAAGACTTGAAAAGTTGAAGGTTGCATGAGTCAGGAAAACATGAAGATGGGAGAGAGTTCCAAAGGATTGAAGTGCGGGGAAAAAAACTAGATGAATAAAAGTTTTTAGAGCATGCAGGGACAGATACAGTAAACGAATGAGACTTAGCTGAATGACGAGTAAAACGAGAATGAATTTTAGTTGATGGAACTAGAGATGATAACTCCTTTGAGCAGTGACCATGATAGTATTTGTAGAAAAGAGAAAGAGATGCAACTTTACGACAATGGGAAAGAGGTTCAAGCTTAGCAGATAGTCCAGGTCCAACAACATTTACAATGCCGATTTGGACCTTGTCAAGAAGAGAAAGTGAATCGTTAGAAGAACCAGCCCAAATATGACAACAGTATTCCATACAGGGACAAATAAGAGATTTGTAGAGGTAGAGAATGGAATCAGAAGTAAGGAAATGGCGAGCACGATAAAGAGAAGCAATCTTAGCAGAAGCTAATTTAGCAATCGATTGTATATATGGTTTCCATAAAAGGTCAGTAGTAAGCGATAATCCAAGAAGACGACTCAGTAAGAGGATTGTCATTCATTAATATAGGAATGTTGACCATATTACGGTAGTTGTTTGCAGTAAGCAACTGGGTTTTTTTAGAGTTGAAATTCACAAGCCACTGTGAACCCCAATCTATTACTGAAGTGAGATCGGATTCAAGATCAGCTGCTTGTTCTAGGCGATCGAAAAGAGAAGACTTTTTGTCAAAACAGGAGTATAAAGTTGAGTCATC